CAACACCTGTAAATACTTCAAGGGTGGGTGTCAGGAGGATGGGGCCAGTCTTTTTTCAGTGGTGCCTGGTGACAGGACAAGAGGAAATGTGCACAAACCTGTAAATAAGATGTTCCACCTAAACATGAGGAGGCACTTTTTTCCTGTGAGGGTGGCAGAGCCCTGGAAGAGGCTGCCCAGAGAGGTGGTAGAGTCTCCTTCTCTGGAGACATTCAAACCTGCCTGGACACATTCCTGTGCAACCTGCTCTGGGTGGCCCTGCTTTGGCAGGGGGTTGGAGGAGATGATCTCCAGAGGTCCCTTCCAACCCCATAGCATTCTGTGATTCTGTATGTATGTCATAAACTAGCAATCCAACCCCATAGCATTCTGTGGTTCTGTATGTATGTCATAAACTAGCGGGGCAGTTAGAAAGCACTAGTTTCCTGCTGCAGATGTTTTGAAAGAGAAGTTGTCCCCAGTTCCAGAAGGACAGGGAACTGCTGGAGAGGGTACAGTGGAGGGCTACAAAGATGATGAGGGGCCTGGAGCATCTCCCTTATGAGGAAAGGCTGAGGGACTTGGGTCTTTTGAGTCTGGAGAAGAGAAGACTGAGGGGGGATCAGATCAACACCTGTAAATACTTCAAGGGTGGGTGTCAGGAGGATGGGGCCAGTCTTTTTTCAGTGGTGCCTGGTGACAGGACAAGAGGAAATGTGCACAAACCTGTAAATAAGATGTTCCACCTAAACATGAGGAGGCACTTTTTTCCTGTGAGGGTGGCAGAGCCCTGGAAGAGGCTGCCCAGGGAGGTGGTGGAGTCTCCTTCTCTGGAGACATTCAAACCTGCCTGGACACGTTCTGGTGCAACCTGCTCTGGGTGGACCTGCTCTGGCAGGGAGCTGGACTAGATGATCTCCAGAGGTCCCTTCCAACCCCATAGCATTCTGTGGTTCTGTATGTATGTCATAAACTAGCGGGGCAGTTAGAAAGCACTAGTTTCCTGCTGTAGAGGTTTTGAAAGAGAAGTCACACCTTTAAATCAAGGCTACAATTAACTGAAAGTGCTGTGGAGGGACTTTAAGAGACATCAGTGGGCTTTCAGTCGGAGTCAGATGGTGCAAAGAGTACCTCAAGGAGCGAAATGCACAAAATTAGCAGAAACCCAGGAAACTACACAATAGTATCTGTCACCAGTTGCAACAGAGGCGTGTTGTGGGCAGGAGCTGTGGGGGCTGCGGCTCCCCGTGCTGCTGGCGCGGTGCTGTGCAGCGGAGAACAGCGATAGATACCTGTCTCAGCAGCAGCTGAACCCAGTCCTGGGTGGTTTGTTACTGGTTTGTCTTCAGAGCACTGGTATGGTTCATGGAGACTGAAGTTTTTTTTTAAGGGACAATTACAACACAACTCTTCCTGCTAAGGCAAACAAAACGAAAGCGTTGATTTTGGTTTTCAATGGGTTTTCAAAGATGTACGGTGCAGGTTGTGGAGAGCCCAGGCCTGTCCAGGCAGTTTGACTCCACGTTAGCAAGTCTGCTCTGCCAGGGGGAGAGTGTGTGCTGTGATGCACGGTGCTGGTGATGGCTGGGATTCCTGGGAAACTGCTGCAGCTAGGCAGGAAAATGCCCTCCTTTCCTAGAAAGCTCTGGGCTTGTGGCTTTCCTTCTGGAGACAGCACATGGATCATATCTAAAGATGCCTTTTATTCTTCCCACTCGCTAACTCGCTATTGTCCGAAAAATAAAAGGAAAGTTAAATAAACCAAGAGAGACTGCACTTCTCAGCCTGGCAAACCACCAGGCTCTTCAGGCTGATTTCATGCAGCTGATTTGTTGTTTAGTCTCAGAGCACCTTCCTCTTTCTTTCTGCACATCCTAGCATTTCTTTAAAAAAACCACTGTAAAAACACCATTTCTTAAAACTGCCACTTTCTTAGGGGTGGGGCAGAGGGAGTTGTCTTATCTCACTTGCTTAGGCAGACTGATTTTTGAAAAGTAATGTAATTTCAAGTGACACTGATTCTATAGTTAATTTTAGCCACTAGGTCTGGAGTCTAGAAGTCTACTTATAGCTGAAATTTTGAAAGTTGAGCACATATAATATATTTACACCAAAACCACCTATATTTACATCTAATACTCCAGATCCCCGTGTGTGCTGATGTCCATTGATCCAGCTGGCAGCCAGCTTGTGTTGAATGCCAATCCACACCAAAATAGCACGCTTAAAACACTGCATGAAAACACAAAGAGCAAATAAACTACGCAGTTTATTCAGCAAAGGTTGTGGGTTTGCCCCACGTTGGGTGCCAATAAATCTGTCACACAAAGAGCAAATAAACTACGCAGTTTATGCAGCAAGGGTTGTGGGTTTGACCCACGTTGGGGGCAAATAAATTTGTTATGGTATAGGCTGGATTGGCCAATGATGGACAACAGATGCTCTCCCACACCTCTTGCTCCGAGCAGGAGGAGAGCTAAAGAGATTTATGAGTTTAGAAGGAACTAAACTACTTTAATGAAATATTAAGAACAGAATAAAAAGGAAATAATGAAATAGATACAATATACACAAAATTGTATCAAGGTCCTAGGATGATGTCACCGGCAGGCATGGGGGAACTCCCAAACTGGACGCGGTGAAGGGTGGAAACTAGATTCCAGGTCTGAAGTCAGGACTGCATGGGCTGGGATGCAAGGTGGATGAACAGACAGGGTCCTCCTTGGACATCAGATTTCTGTAGGGCTTGGGTAGGTTTTTTATCCTGCTTACTCATGTCCTCTCCATGGTCACAGAGGCAAAGCCACAGGAAATCTCAGCGGGGGTCCTGTTTCTCTTGAGTTGGTCTTATAGGAGGGTGTTTTTTCTTAAGGATTGCAATGTGGGTTCAGGAGAAGAGTGGGATTCTTTCCCCATCTTGGACAGTTTTTGAAGCAATTTATGAAAAAAATTATCATTTTTCTCGGCTATTGTCTTAGTCATTTTCTCTGTTGTCTCAATTTTTTTCTCAGTTTTCTCAGCCGTTTTCTCCACATCGGCCACAGGGAGGGGATGAGAGAGACTGTCTTCATACTGTCGTACCTTGTTAGCCACTTCATTTACAGTTGGTGTGTCATCACCAGATCCTCCCCAGACCATTGCTGACAAAGTGTGGGAATACATACATGGTGCACTCTGCACGAACATCCTCAACAAAGATTGTTTGCATGGCATGTCATCAGAGTCTACATTCACCTGCCAGTTACCATAAATCGCCTCTCTCACAGCCAGTTCTCTCTCTTAATACCTTTCTCCATGCTGGTCCATTTGCTTGGACATTATTCGATATCATCCTTAAAGGGATGCCTGTCCTTTACAGCTGATACCAGTCATCTCCAGAGACTGAGAATATTTGTCTTCTTTCCAATTGCTTTATCAATGCCTCCCTGTTTGGCCAGGTTTCCCAACTGCTTAGCCTCTCTACCTTCTTAGTGTATGGTATCAGCCCCATTATCCCAGCACCAGAGCAACCAGGAGATAAGTGTCTCACCTTCATGACGGCTAAAGTCCTTCCTTATATTTTACAAATCTTCATAGAGAAGGATTTAGTGACTATCTCTGCAGCTAAGTCCTCCTCCTGCGTTAGCACTGCCTGAGAAGGACCCTCTCCTGGACCTGCTTTAGAAGGACCCTTTCCTTTATCTGCTTTTAGAAGGACGCTCTCCTGGATCTTCGTTGGAGGAACCCTCTTCCATGCTGTCTGGCTTGGGCTGGTGCCTATCATAAGAGGTAGGGAAACGAGCTGACCTCCTTTTCTGCTTTCTGGTCACTGGGGCAGCTTGTGCCAATTCTGTTGGGAGTTTGAGTAGCTGATGGTGGTGGTGGGGTGGCCAATGTCTGTATGGCCAGGGACAGCAATTGGTGTGACTTGGGGGGTGGCTTGTGTCTGTGTTGTCTGTGAGTTGACCCGTGGGGTTTGAGTAGCAGCATCCATGTCACATAACTGGTATTTAACAAAGAATTACCCCTACAACACATTCAGGAAAACCGACAACAAAATCGTGGTCTTATGAAAGTAACATTTATTTTCTGAACAGCCCAAAAGGTTTCCATGCCCTAGGTCTGATGGTGATGCTTTAGCATAATCATTAAAGGGCAAAGTAAACTTTCCCCAGGTAAAACCGAAAGTGTAATTAATAAAAGAATAATTCACATGACACCCGAGATGTGCAGGTAGAACCATTATCCAAGTAACTATATTATACATCCGAATGCCAATCCACACCTAAATAGCAGGCTTCAAGCACCGCATACAAACACAAACAGCAAATAAACCATGCAATATATTTGGCAAGGGTCATGCGTTCGGGCCCCACGTTGGGTGCCAAAAAGTCTGGTGTAAACTTTCCCCAGGTAAAACCGAAAGTGTAATTAATAAAAGAATCATTCACGTGACACCCGAGATGTGCAGGTAGAACCATTATCCAAGTAATTATATTATACATCTGAATGCCAATCCACACCAAAATAGCAGGCTTAAAGCACCGCATACAAACACAAACAGCAAATAAACCATGCAATATATTTGGCAAGGGTCATGCGTTCGGGCCCCACGTTGGGTGCCAAAAAGTCTGGTGTGGTTTAGGCTGGATTGGCCAATGATGGATGACAGATGCTCTCCCCCAGGAGAGGAGAAGAGGTAAAGAGATTTAGGAGTTTAGAAGGAACTAAATACATATAATATGTACGAAACCATATCAAGGTCCCAGGATGATGTCCCTGGACTGGGGAAGTCCCAAACTGGACTTGGTGACGGACGGGAGCTGGATTCCAGATCTAGAGTCAGGAATGCAGGGATTTGGATCAAAGGCAGATGAACAGACAGGGTCCTCCTCAGATGTCAGCCACTGAAGAAAGAGGCTGAGCCTTTGATCCCTCAGCTTTTATACTGAGCATGGGGCAGATGGGATGGAACACCCTGTTGGTCAGTTTTGGGTCACCCGTCCTGTCTGCTCCTCCCCACAGGTGGGACCCTTCTAAGCTTTTCCATTTCTGACCCTTCAATGGGACAAATAATGAAGTTACCTGACCTTGGTCGTTACAATAGTAAGTATGAGCAAGACTCTCCCTGCATACCATTTCGTGGCATTAACTGCAAACATAGTTCTTACCACCCTGAGAACAAACAGTTTTCTCCACAATACACTGTTAAGTTCAGAGAGCTGGAAGAGGCTTAGCTAAGCAGTAAAATTACCAAACAGAAAGTTGGGTCTGTTTTACCCCAAGCCAGGACACTGGGTAAGAGCGATCTCCCAGCGGTGGCTAGCCCTGCAGAAGACATATTTACACATATTTCTTCTTCACAGAGCCTTTTAGGCAAAGACAGATCCATCCTGGTCGCTGGTGTTCTGGGTTATGTTGCTGACCACGATGCTTTCTGGATAGCTAGCTGAAGAGGTGACCTGGTAGCGACTGCAGGGGCCACAGAAACACAGGCATGGACAATACTTTAAGCAGACACGATACAGGTATTTCCTGAATTTTTGGCCAGCAAAGGCATAGATAAGAGGATTGAGACAACAGTGACTGAACGCAATGGTTTCGGTGAGGTGCATTGCGTAGTCTAATGATTTAATTTGGTTGCAACTTGTGAATAATTCATAGTACTTTAAAGTCTCTAGAAAAATCATTACATTGTAGGGGGACCAAAACAGAAAAAACACGACCACCACAACCAAGACTAGCTTTATAGCTCGTGTTTTTTTCTGATTTTTGCAGAACAGCAGGGTTTTGACGATCCCACAGTAGCAATAGCCTATGATACAGACTGGGATGATAAAGCCAATGGTGTTCAGCTCGACATTGCAGAACACTGGCCAGATGTTCTCCAGCTTCTGGGGAAAGACAGAAATGCAGTCGTTTTCTACCAGCTGGGAGAACACAAAATGTGGCACTGAGACTAAAATCGCTACTGCCCATACTCCACAGGTTATGAGAAAGCCATGTTTCACTGTTCTGGATTTCAGAGAGTATGTTGCCCGGACAATGGCCAAGTATCTGTCAATACTGATAACAGTGATAAAGAACATGCCCCCAAAGAAACCAATGTAATACAGGGAGGAAACAGCTGTGCATGGAATAGTCCCAAAAATCCATCCACGCACCGTGTTGGAAGCCCAGAAGGGGAGGGAGATCACGAAGAGAAGATCTGAGATAGCCAAGTTCAGGAGATAGATGTCAGTTATGCTTTTTTTACTGCCTTCTTTCACAATGGCAAAAATCACCATTAGATTCCCTGTGAAGCCAAGAGCAAACACCGCGATATAAAATATTGGTAGGAATATTTTCCCAAATTCTTGGATGTCAGTCTTATTGCAGGTAAAAGCATGTTCATCATAACTGTATTCAGGTGTCGTGTCTGTGAATGCTTCCGTCATGCTGAATTTTCTGGCTAGAGGCAACCTGAAAAGGGAAAAGAGAATAATGTTAGAGAAAGAGATCCAGTATCTGCTACGGTAAAACACTGTGAGACCTCACCAACATGGAAGCTTTGGGATTTTCTCATTATTTGGGTTAGTGAGAGCTGTATCACTGAGGGGATGATGGTAGCTACTAACATAAGCCCAGACTCTGCTGTTACACGCTCTTCACTGAAAGTTAGCTCTTTAGGATAAGAAAACACAAATGAGAATTGTCAGGGCTGTCGAATAAGCCCCTGCTTATGGGAAGAGGAGCAGAAGCAGCGGCGAACCAGCATCCGAGGAGCTGAGCTCTGCAGATGGTGCAGAGATGCAGTGTGAGAAATGCAGGTGCCCTCCCAGTCTGTAGGGCTGTGCTCTGCAGGAAATGCCACCCCCCGTGTAGCTGTCGATGCGCACGCGGTGCCTCTCCGCACCACCAAGCGCCCAGTCTCGCCCCACACGTTAACCCCAGGGTGGAGGTGTGGTAAGACGCCCAGTTTGGCCAGCCCTGAGCAGACACCCACCATTGTGGGGAGAACAGTTTGCACTGGGACATACCTTGGGAGAAAGCATACCTTTAGTGAGGTTTTAAAAAACAAAAAATCATTCTATAATCAGAAGAAGGGAAGCTCTGCTGACACTTTTCCTCAAGCACCAAAGCCTCTCATGACTTCTGCTGACTTGGCTGCGGGGTAGTCAGGTTGGAGCCAGGGCTGGTTAGCTCAGGGGCTACACCCAAAGAGATAAAATCATAGAATGGTTTGGGTTGGAAGGGACCCTAAAGATCATCCATTTCCAACCCCCTGCCCTGGGCAGGGACACCTCCCACCAGACCAGGTTGCTCCAAGCCCCATCCAGCCTGGCCTTGAACCCCTCCAGGGATGGGGCAGCCACAACTTCTCTGGGCACCCTGTTCTAGTGACTCACCCCCCTCACAGCCAAGAATGTCTTTCTGGTATCTAATCTAAATCTCCCCTCTTCCAATTTAAAACTGTTACCCCTTGTTCTGTCTATGGGGTGCGGGTGTGTGACCTCTGGGCTCACTTGTCTGCACAACCAGTAACTCAGGGCACCTGTCAGTTCCTCTGCCCTCCCTTGGGATGTGGTGGTCAAGTCTCTGCAAAGATATCTGTTTGCAGGAACCAAAAAATCCTTAGATTAGAGGTGTGTAAAAGTTACCGAATTAGCTCTGCTCCCTGATTGGGGTAAAGAGTTGTAATTATCCATTAATTGTTCTCTCTGCAGGAAATGAAGGAAGCTGGGTGTGATATGCTGTGCAGAAGCCCAGGGACATGAAAATGCGGCCAAACCAGTCTGCTAAAGTCAAGACTGAATGGAAAGGTCAGTGATGACTAAACTGCAACTTTCCCTTGGTCCCAGTGCCACAAACTTCTTATAGGAACCCCCATTGACTGTAAAGAAGGGACTCAGTTCAGTGGCCATAAGCTGTCTCTAATATAGGTGTTTACATCCTCTGTTAGTGGGAGAGGCAGTTAATGCAGTCAATGGAGAGCAGTGTCTCTGACCTGATCCAAAGCAGGTCAGGCCAAATCTGCTTTTAGATAAGACAGAGTGCTTTCCAGACTCCACTAACCATGTTGATGAAACTCCTTGATGAGGTTTAATGATGTTCCATGGTAAGCATCTCAGCATTACTCGGTGGTAGATGCTGATGGTGTGTAACTACTCCCACTCCACACTTACAGCAAAGTAGTTGGAATCCCAGCCTATATGTCCACGTTCCACTGATAGCAATAGTTTTCAAAGCCTCAGTTTAAAATAAGCCTTGCAAGACTAATCATGAAACAAAGATGTCCTGAGGTGTGAGACACCCCTTGTTTCATAGTGGCAGCTACAAAAAACTCCCTCACATGTGGCTATGGTCACCATATTGACATTTTCTCCTAATGCCTCATTGCCAGAAGGCCATTTCTGGCTTGGGCCATGAAGTCACGGCCTTTTATTTTGTAGTCATTTCTCAAAGAGCATTTTTTTTTTTTTTTGGTGCTAGTTAGAAATGCAGGCTCTCCATTTTAAAATTACTGCTCGTTCTGACTGTTCAAAGCCTAGTTGTCCCCAAAACATTTAAATGAGAAGTGCCCACAGTCATTAGAAAACAAATCTTTGTGGTTTTGCAGAGGAAAAGTAGGGTGGAAGAAGGGCTGTCTCAGCGCTGGTAGTTTTGGGGCATGGGCACGGGGCAGGGAAGGCTGTTTACAGCGGGCAGGCACACCCATGGGCTCTGCAGATCTTGCAGTGCCTTTCCTCTTGAACTGGGAGCTGAGCCCCCCTGCAGAGTCTGCCCAGACCCTTGCTGGCATCCCCCAGCTTTGGGAGATGTCTCTGACACCAGCAGAATTAAAGGGGACGAGTAGGAAACGCCTAGGTGCTGGGGCAGCAGCTGACGGTAACTGCAAACAAGAGTCTAATTTCCTACTGGTAAGATAACTAATTAGAGTTGCCTACAGAGATGTGTGACAGGTTTCTCATCTCTTCAAGTGTTTGTCCACTCATCACTTTATAAACCCTGCGAGGTATACAGAAACGAGGAGAAAACTATGTACTGGACCCCACCTGGAGTACTGTGTCCAGCTCTGGAGTCCTCAACATAGAAAGGACATGGATTGTTGGAATGGGTCCAGCGGAGGGCCACGAAGATGATCAGGGGGATGGAGCACCTCTGCTGTGAGGACAGGCTGAGAGAGCTGGGGTTGTTCAGCCTGAAGAAGAGAAGGCTCCGGGGAGACCTTGTAACAGCCTTCCAGTACCTGAAGGGGCTACAGGAGAGATGGAGAGGGACTCTGTCAGGGAGTGGAGTGACAGGACAAGGGGTAACGGTTTTAAATTGGAAGAGGGGAGATTTAGATTAGCTACCAGAAAGAAATTCTTTCCTGTGAGGGTGGTGAGAGCCTGGAACAGGTTGCCCAGAGAAGCTGTGGCTGCCCCATCCCTGGAGGGGTTCAAGGCCAGGCTGGATGGGGCTTGGAGCAACCTGGTCTGGTGGGAGGTGTCCCTGCCCAGGGCAGGGGGGTTGGAACTAGATGATCTTTAAGGTCCCTTCCAACTCTAACCATTCTATGATATATAATCCAAATAGCCCATCGTTTTCTCCTTTTTCATCCTGACGCTCCTCTTCTGAGGGTAAATGTACACAGCAGGTGCCTTTAAAATGAAGAAGTAGTACCCCGAGTCTCATGTGCCGAGTGTGAGTCACTACGCTAGCCCACCCAGCTCCTCACCACTGAGCTGTTATTGCACCCATCTGCACAGCACCACAGCCTCTGCCTGACTCTGTGGGCTGGTGTGCTCCACAGCCCTTTCTTCACCAATGCCCTGGTGTAGGGTAGTTGATGGCTACCAAAATGATCAGGGCCAGAGCACCTGGTGTATGAGAAGATGCTGAGAACTTGGTTTGATCTGCTCCATCAAGAGGCTCAAGGGGGATCTAGCAAGAAGGTGTAAAGTGAAGCAGACAACTTTCCTCAGAGGAATAAGAGGCAAAGGCCACGGGAAATTGTTACTCACTCTATGGAAAAAAAATTCACTGTGAGGGCAATCAAACACCAGGACAGCCCTTCTGGTTGTGAGATCCTCAGAGGTATTTGAAACTCAGCCAGCCCTCCTCTGAGCAGGGGTTTCGACGAGAGACCTCCAGAAGTCATGTCCTTACTTTGTGGCTCCATGACAAAGCCAGGCAGAAGCCACAGTGTCCCTGCAAGTGCCCTAGCTCCTTCTCTGACATGTGTGCTCCTGTTTCTCTTGGTGTGGCAGGTAGGAGTCATCTCATGCACAGAAGAAAAAAACTAAGGGATACCTGCTCCTATCCCAGTAACATCTTTGCAAACTGTGCAGGCATCCAGAGAGGTGCTGTGTGAAATCCCTGGTCTGGAGACAGGGAGCACACGTTGGTCTGCTCTTTTCTCTGTGAGCCTCAGGCTGTGCTGGCCTTTCCCATGCTCACTCCCTCAATTCACATCTAGAAAGACAACTTGATGCTCTGGAGAGTTTTCATATGTGTCTGTACAAGCCGCTGCGCTCTGTTGGGAACAGGGAGGCTTTCACACCCATAAGGGAAGCTCCCACCACAGGGTAACCCTCAGGTCTGGTAGACTTCTGCACAGGCTGCTCCCACTGCCATTGCCCAGAAAGAAAGCTGGGCAGGGGAATGGCCATCTTCTTCACAGGCGAACATTTACAAGAAGAACTTCTGCCCTCATTGAAGCAAAGAGGAACGTTGCTTGGGCTGGGGTTTTTCCTGAAGTACTTTTCAAGTCCTCTCCTCTAGCTCGTTGATGGAGATCATTTATTTCTACAGCAACAAATTTTTTTCCTTCACCCCCGGACGGGTGGTGGCAAAGCCTGTGGAACCTCTGCCAACAGGAAGGGAGAGATCCTGCAGAGCACATCTGGGAGCAAGAGAGAACTGCACCTACCAAAATGACATTGGCATCCGAAACTGCTAGCACAGCCTGGGGCTTGTGCACTCCCTAGCTCCTGGACTTTATGTATCACCAACCACACACTCGTATCCTCCCAGCTGCCACTCGTCCTGCATATGCAATGAGGCCAGTTCTTTATGAATATTTAGCTTCTCTTTGCTCAGCTTAAGCTGATGGTACTCAAGGGGTGGCTCCAAGCTCCAAAAGGACCCCCTCCCAAAAGAGCCTATGTCAGATTGGCATAATGTGATGACATTTTATCATGCCCCAAAGCGAGGAAACAGCTCTGCCCACCCTTCATCCTTCCCTGCCAGGTATTCTCCATCAGCCTCGCAAGGCCCACCACAGAGCATGCTGTAGTCTTCTCGCTGTCAGCTTCAACCCACTTTTCTCTCCTGTGATTATGATAAACGTTCATCTAAGGGACAAAGTTAACTGAAGAGCACAGAGGCCGCAGGAGAAGGACTGCAGGAGAAGGACTGCAGGAGAAGGACTGCAGGGCTGCAAGGTCCCTCCGCCAGACATTTTCCCTTGCTGAGCACAGGAAATAGTAGATTCACTTCTGCTTCTCATGAAACTGCTTTCTTTCCAGATTTCCCCAGCAGTTTTGCACCCTACTCCCCACAAACACTTCTGCTTTTAATCACGTTTATAGCTATCTAAAATACAACAGTCTGCAGGACCAAAACCCCTGTTTCTCAACCCAGCTATTCCCAACAGCCCTGTGCGCTGTATGTAATACATCGGGAAGTGAAATTATGAGAGAGGCCCAAACTCCTCCAAGCTACAGAAGCTGCATTTCATAGAAGCATAGGATGGTTAGAGTTGGAAGGAACCTCAAAGATCATGGAGTTCCAAACCCCTGCCATGGGCAGGGACACCTCCCACCAGACCAGGTTGCTCCAAGCCCCATCCAGCCTGGCCTTGAACCCCTCCAGGGATGGGGCAGCCACAGCTTCTCTGGGCAACCTGTTCCAGTGCCTCACCACCCTCACCCACCCTCTTTCAATTTAAAACCATTACCCCTTGTCCTGTCACTCCACTCCCTAACAAAGACTCCCTCCCCATCTCTCCTGTAGCCCCTTCAGGTACTGGAAGGCTGCTCTAAAGTCTCCCTGAAGCCTTCTCTTCTCCAGGCTGAACAACCTCAGCCTCTCACTCTGAAACTCTTTCAACTCTCATAGAGCGTTGGCATCGGGCTGGGTGACACATGAGCCAAATCCTCTTCCTGCATCTGATCTTTCCAACCATCACCTCTGGTGCTGCAGCCAAGTGCCACCTTGACAAGCTTTCCTGCCAAGAAGAGGGGTCTGTGAGCACTTTGCCTCTCCGTGACGCTTCTGCTGTCACTGAATGAAAAGAAGATAAAAAACCATAACCAAGCCTGGGCCTCCACCAGAAGGTCACGCTTCAGCTTTCACAATATACACTGATGAAAATATTTAAGTCTCGGAAAGATTTTCACGCCTTAGTCAGCATTTCTGGGTGAGGCTGTCTTGCACGCATTTCTCATGCAATCAGACCAGGTTTTCAGTGCAAGCTGGAGGGGGCTGGAGCTGCCCCCTGACGATTCAGGGGGGCCAGGGAAGCTGTAGGCTTTGTGGGAAGCCCTGTGAAACCCTCCGGGTGCTTTATGCCTTTCTCACCCTCCGCTCTGAGGTGCCATCACCCTGCCCAAATACACACACCGTCACTTTTGGGCGTGTGTGACTACACCCATCTGCTTCTCGAGGGCTGGCAGTTCTCAGCAAGATGGCAGGGATGTCCTGGGGTACCTCCAAATGAAATGTCGTAGCTGCTGGTGGCCCTTTTAACACACGCACACACACACAAAAGAGAGATTTAAGGCAATTAAGCAGAACTGGTGGAAACTAAGAGGAGAGATGCAAGTCTTAATAGCACTCTAGGTGAAACTCAACCAGCTTGGCACCAAGCAGCTACCATGCAACCACCAGGTTGCCGCAGACACTTCTAACCACCATCTGGACGGTATCCAAATGAAAACTTAGACTTACTGGCAATACACTAACCAGAGATGGGGCCCCGTTTCTACTCCTACAACCAGCTGGTTCCTGTAATACACTTAACTTTTAAAGCAGGGCGGCTCCATCCTTAGGGGACAGTCTCTGGAGTTACCTGGGGTGGTGTTAAATAGCCGAGGTCAAAAGCAGGCCCAGCCCAGCAGATGCAGTTGCTTTAAATCTTAAATATGAGTCTTTTATTCAGTCCTGAAGTGGGCAGACATTCTCCCCCTCTCACCCCAATGGGTTCTGGAAGTAGCAGACACAAGGCCAATCTCGGAAAGAGGGAAGCAAAGCCAACCTAACCCTTAACCTGGGCAAAATAAAATTTAAACAGTAAAGGGGGACAGTGCAGCTAATGCCAGCCCGCATGGATTTATAGAAAAGGAGCTTTAGCTTGGACATCTGATGAGATTACAAGGTTGATAAAGAGAACTGCTGCAGAAGAGGTGGAGCCTTGACTTGCACTGTCTGATGGTCAAATTGACACATCTGACCAGCCCAGCAAAGCCTTACAAGGGGGTCTGGGCTGGTTAGCTGTCGGATCTCAGAGGCCAGCCATCTGTGGAGGAAGCCTTCCCAAACCAGGAATATGGCTTGTAAAAGGTCTGCAAGTAGCTACGAGTTCAAAACTGAAAACTCTTCAGTATTTTTCGCATTGGTCTGAAGACAAATTGGGAATCGGGGCTGGCAGGGGGAAGTGATGAAAGAGTTAGAGGACTGGGCAGTAATTCAGACAGACCTGAGTAATCTGGGGCTTCTGGAATGATTCAGGTTGGCTGTAATGCAGCCAAAGTGACACGTTTGGGGGTTAAATAGCACAAAGCATGTCTCGAGAATGTGGGCACATCTGCCAGGAAACCTGACTGCTGGTACGGGCAGGCTCTGAAACCGAGCGCCCAGCCAGATGTCACAGCAAGAAAAGCTGATGCAACCCTCCGGTGTTTAAAGAGAAGGGAAGGGACAAAAGAGGGAAGTCTTTACCATTGCAGAGCTTGATAACAGCACTTGATTTCACTTTGGCTGGTCTTAATAATCGTGCTAATTTAGTGGGATTAGCCATACCGTAAACAGATGCATGGAAATTCCAACCAGAAGCATGCAAACTAGAAAGCAGACACACATTTTTAACCGTGAAAGGCTAACGACTGGAACGGACTTCAGGTAGGAAAAGGAGGTTTTTGCATGTCTGAGGGTCTCCATGTCAAGAGAAGACACCGTTCTGGGAAACGGGAGCAGGCCAGGCACAGTGGAGAGCCCAGCAGGGGCGTACCGGGTAGAACCCCTAAAACCCTACAGCCCAGCAAATGGGCTATAGGGCTACATTCATCTTAACAACCGTGGCTCTCTTTCAGTAATAAATGACTGAAAAAGCCATAGTGTCCTCTCCCCAGGTACTTTACCAGCTCTAGCCAGCCCAAATCCTGGGCTGGGACCCCCGGGAAGGAAGCGGGGTCCTGCAATAAGCATAGAACAGCTGCTGGGCTTGATTTAGAGGGGAGGCTGTAGGATGGCTGTGGAAAGAAATCAGCACAGTTTGGGGACAGGGATGTTGTTATCTGCATCACCTCTGTGAAACCCTACATGTCCTCTGTACTTCTAACTGGTTCTTCTATCATTCCTCCATTGCTTCTGAATGAATGTGATGCAATCCCAGATACACCCTTGCTCCCTGATCCCATAGTCCTTCCCTGATGACTTTAAGGTGAGCAGATTCCTTTCGTTGGTGCATCATCTTTCTTCTGTGATTTATTTTCAGATCAGCAGGACCGTTTCTGTGGCCAGGCAGAGTTCTGCAAGCTTAATAATTACTTATCGATTTGGGTGATGGAATTTATGGAGGCTCCCCTGAAGACTTTGAGGGTAAGTTTTCTAATAGCAAGCAGTAATCTGGTCTGCTTTGTTGCTGGATTGTCCAACTCAAGATGGAGTTCAAGGTGCAGAAGCACGATGCTGAGGCTTTCTGAAAATTAGGGCTTCCTAGACGCCCTACCCAGAAATGGAAGCCAATCTGATTAAGACAAATATAAACCTGAATATTGCAGAGGCCTGTGGTCCCTTTACAAAGGCATTAATGTCAAAGAGATAAAAAAACGCCCAGAGGCCTGTGGTCCCTTTACAAAGGCATTTACGTCAAAGAGATGAAAAAAATGCTCCAGTTCTACAGTTTTTACACCACCATCACAAACTAAATTAGAAGCAGACACCACTAGCTGGAAATGAGCAGCATATAACTCTAAAAACTAAACCAATAGTTCTGTGTAAAAAAAATAAAAATATATATATATTTGAAAAGATGAGGATTGGATCATGGACGGCAGGAGGGAATAGTATAGAGTCCAAAATCCCCAAGGATTTCTCTCACCTTCACCTAAGGCTTTAGAGCATTGGAAAGTGCTTTCTCAAAGATGCTCCATGCTAACCAGAAGATAACTGCAGGGCAGCAAGTAACTAGGGCACAACTTTCAGCTTAACCCATCACATCAAAATTAGATATACTCTGATTTAAAAAAAAAAAAAAGCCAAATCCCTGAGTTACTACTGTAACTGAAACGAGGGCTTCACTGCCTGTGCTTCAGAGCAACTATGGAGATATTATTTTGAACAAGATCTTGCTCTTGCTCCATCAGTGCATGGTCCAGCTGGCCGGGCCAGTGGCCTCGCTCAGGCAAGTCACAGCAAAGCGGGCACAGGGGACTGAATGCCGATGCCCTGGGTGACTCCTGCATCCAGCAACATCCCTCCACTTGCTGGTTTTGTTGTCCTGCTGGGACATCCCTGCAGGACCCTCTCACGAGCCACTGGGGAAGGAGGGCAGGACCGCAGCTGTGCGTGGTTTTCTGGGGCTGTGGCAAACCCTGCCAAACCCCTGGCACCTCGCCCCTGCAGTTGCTGGTGTATTTATAGCAAAAGCTGTAAGCTGAGGCTTTTGATGGTTTCAGCTCCTTCCCTCGACTCTGGAGAGGACAAAGCCCCTCTGAAGCTGACAGGGTGGCCGTGCGGGAGGCTTGGTGCCTGCATGTCGTGGGTCCTACCTGCTCCTTAAAGGCTCAGGGTTCAGGACATGATCTCTAATGAGCAAGCGAAGATGCAGTCAGTCACATCAAGGCATTTCCCTGAGGTGCCATCACTGATTCTAATAATTCTTCTGAATGGGAGCTAATTACTGGGCGGGAGGGGCTTCTGAAAATACCACACGGCATGAGGCTGAACCTCTGGCCATCAAAGTCCCTTTAGAAATCCGGCAGGACAGATCTTAAATATCCATTTCACAAATTACTTATGCATTTAGGAAATATGACCTGACAGCATGATTCAGACTCTTGCCTCCCCCCTGCATCTTAACATTGAGGTTCAGAAATCAATGAAATGGTTCTGAACGTTTCACCTGTGCCTCTCAGGCTCAGATCCAAGGGTCCTCCGCGGAACCTCTGCAACCCGAGATGGTTTCCAGGCGGTGTCCTGCCCCCAGGGACCAGCCAGGGGATGGGAAATCGCATAAACGGTGTGAGAATCCTGTTGAAGAGCAGTATTTATTTTTGTCCTTGCAGAAGCTTTAACTCAGCTGCCGGCGGGCGGTGGCAGAGCTGGGGAGGGACCGGGCACCCTCCCACGAGCAGCCCCTGGGTGTTTCGGGCTGTCACCTCTCTGGACGGTGATGGTCAGAATCAAGATTTTCCTAGAAAAAAAATGTTTCAAAGGTATTCTCTCACAGTCGCTCGTTACACTTTTATATCTTTTTTTCCATGTGTGTAGTTGAGCGTTTTGCCCGGTTTTTCTCTTACCTGCTCTTTCTGAGTCTCTCTTTCTCTCAGGCCTTCCCTTCTTAAAAAGCATCCAAATTTCTTTTGTATTTTCTGTTGAAGGGACAACAAAAACAGACAGTTGTTTGTATCTGTGTGCACTGTTTGTACTTGTTTATAGTTACCGATCGCTCTGTCCTCTCAACACCTTTCTCGCGGTGCCTATTTATTTCCTGCCCTCTCATTTTATTATTAAATAAGCTCACAGTGCCTGGGCATTCTTGAGAAATCTGAGATGGCTCTCTAGAGATGGACGATCTGTTAAACCATCTTCCCCATCCTCATTTTAGAGAGCAGAGCGTATTACGCCTTGACTGTGTCGGGATGAGATTTAAGTACCAAAGTTGCCAGCCCCTTTCCTGGGAAGATCATATTTACTGTGTGATTTACCCTCAATTTACTACGTGTTCTCCTTTGTCAAACTTTAGCCTTTTCCTCTCCGTTTTGGACTTTTCCTGCCCTGCACAAACCCTTGTAATCCATTGCAGTTGCTGTCTTTTACTCTGTTGCCCAGTCTGCTGCCTCTGGCTGTGCTGCCTCTACCAGGGTCTGCCCCAACAGACCCGATTTTGGGAGCTACTGTTTCTGAATCTATCTTTATATCACACAATTACTTAGCGGCTGCCACCACTGTATTACCCAAATGTCTCATCCAAACCAGCAGACATCTTAGTGTGACACCCTTCTTATGGAAAGCTGAGTCACAAAGGAATTCAGTAATGTGGTCACACAGAAATTTGGGGTTTCAAGTTGTTTTTTTTTTTAATTTCTGCTGTTCCTCTTGCCAGTCTGTCAGCATTAGAAGCTTTCTGTCATCTCTACCAGATTTTCTGTATTGGGCTGTCTCTCAGTGTCAGTGATTTGGCATGTTGGTTCACTGACCAAAACTAAAAGCAAGCAATGCTGGCAAGTTGTGAAATCCCTGCAGACATCTAACAAAAACACATCTAATGAAGCAGAAGGGCTGTATCTTCTTAGTCTGTCCTTCTGGCCTAATGCTGCACACTAGTCATCTCTTAGTATTTTGCTTTAATCTTGAGGACTTCTAGCCAGGGTAAATACTTCTCTAACCACAAGATGCCACAAATAATTAGTCACTGAGTAACATTTCTCTGCCCTGGTTTGCTTCAATTAATAAAAGCCTTCCCCTTTTTACTTTCACAATTTGTAAACATTACCCACATCATCTTTACCCAAATTAAATATCATTTAGATTCCAAGCGCTAAGTAGTGAAAAGTTTCCTTAAGTTCATGAGAGACTATTTCTTATCATTCTGCTCTGTCAAATTATAGATAAAATAGAATCATCTCTTACCTTAATTCATAGCTGCATTGAAAGCCAATGTTTTCTTCAAGCTGAGCTTGTTTGGGTTTAAATATACGTTTCCTCTTCTCTAGTGCTCCTGCCTACCCTATGGAAAAGGGGGCTGAGCTGAGAAAGCATTAATGTGCTCTGCTCCCGTCTTGCTGGTGCCTTCCGAAATTGTGAAGCAGGATGTGGCCACTCAGAGGGGCAGAAGTGCTTACGGAGGACAGGATTTGCACAGAAGACAGAAATGTCTGAGGAACTTCATCCTCAGCTTGTAAAAGCTCTCACTCTCTTGGTTCCCCCACCCTCTGCAGAATGAGATATTCTTGACCCCCTACTCAATGCTAGAGTGTAGAGAAACACCAGTCTGGTGTGATAGCAGGGACCTTGAGCAGTGGGGACACGGGATGCAGCGTAAGGGAGTATGGGATGGTAAAAGATGGGGCATGGGCTGGCACTGGGGACCCCCACAGCTGTACACAGGTTGCTGGTGACCAGCTGAAAAAATGCAGACCTGGAGCTGGCAAAGCTGGTTTTAGCAGCAACAGACAGAATAAAAGCAGTATCTAACATGCATAAGGGGCACTGTACCTGGTTTTAGCAGCAACAGACAGAATAAAAGCAGTATCTAACATACGTTAAGGGGCACTGTACATGACCAGCTGAAAAAATGCAGACCTGGAGCTGGCAAAGCTGGTTTTAGCAGCAACAGACAGAATAAAAGCAGTATCTAACATGCATAAGGGGCACTGTACCCACTAAAGTGGGAGTAATGTGAAGTTGCAGACCAATGCAGACAGAAGAAGGTACAGAAGCACGTTAGCAGACATATAAAAATGACCCCAAGCAGATCCTAGAGAGAGGCTGAAAAAAAAAACATCAGCATGAACATTGCATTCATCCCAGACCAAGGGCTGGAGATGCTGACAGCTCATTCTAACACCCCACCTCGCCACCACCACCTGGGTGAAACCACCAACCTTAGGACCCAGAGGAGCAGAGGAAGGGCGAGTGTACCACCAGGAAAAGGGCTAGAAACTGTGTGTTTGTGCAAAACAATTTTAACTGCATTAGTATTGTTCCTTTTTCTGCAACCAGCAGACCTAGACCGATCGTGATTGGAGGCTTCAGGCTGCCATTGGCATGTTCATTAATCAAGGAGCCTTCTTGGCATCATTAGGGTTGCGTTACGGCTGGGATGCTGCGTGGCAGAGGTGGGCCCCCTCCGTACGGGCTGAGCTGGATGGGGTTTTTGGGGTGGAGAGCATCTTGCATAAGGGGCACTGTACCCACTAAAGTGGGAGTAATGTGAAGTTGCAGACCAATGCAGACAGAAGAAGGTACAGAAGCACGTTAGCAGACATATAAAAATGACCCCAAGCAGATCCTAGAGAGAGGCTGAAAAAAAAAACATCAGCATGAACATTGCATTCATCCCAGACCAAGGGCTGGAGATGCTGACAGCTCATTCTAACACCCCACCTCGCCACCACCACCTGGGTGAAACCACCAACCTTAGGACCCAGAGGAGCAGAGGAAGGGCGAGTGTACCACCAGGAAAAGGGCTAGAAACTGTGTGTTTGTGCAAAACAATTTTAACTGCATTAGTATTGTTCCTTTTTCTGCAACCAGCAGACCTAGACCGATCGTGATTGGAGGCTTCAGGCTGCCATTGGCATGTTCATTAATCAAGGAGCCTTCTTGGCATCATTAGGGTTGCGTTACGGCTGGGATGCTGCGTGGCAGAGCTGGATGGGGTTTTTGGGGTTTTTTGGTGGCATCTTATAGGTTGTCTGTGCTGTAGCTTGTTGATTGGTGTGGCGAGTTGCCAGGCAAACTGTGGGCCTCCAACATCAGCCGAATTACGCAAGTGATGTCTGCCGTGTGGGGAGGACACGCGCCCACGGAAATAATCAGGGAACCCATGGCTGGTTAGGTGTTAGCCAGGAACAGCAAAGATACACTGCTGAAAATAAAGTTTAAAGATGAGGGAATAGTAAAAGGCAGAGCAGCAGATTTTGAAAAACTCACCTTTTTCTCCAACAAGTGCCAGCAGCCTCATCCTGCTCCTTCTTCCAAAATAGGTGTAAAGAATTCCGCGGTTTTTTTTCAGGAAAACATGAAAAGGCTGGTGGCCAGTTTCTTCCCACACACTGAAAGTAGGAACTATGACTGCCAAGATTACAAACTTTCAACTTTCAGAAAGATAATTTCTGGTATACGGAACTAAGGAAACGTTCTCATTGTGTGAGAACTGTAAGATTCAGAGAGGCAAATGAAGTCTTCTTTGATGCCAGTGATAGCCTGATGGTATCTAGTCTGACACCAAAATCTCAACCTGCCTCCCACGATGAAGGACTGTGTCCTCCCCAGTTACTGCCTCCTGCAGACAAGCCTTGTGAAAAAAGATGTGGGTAATCCAGTAGGAGCTTCCCCACTGGGGACCTGCAGACCCCAAGCTGGTTTGCTGCTGACCTGTAAATCGTGGGTTGCCAGAGCCCAGGGAGCCACAGCCACCCTCCTGCTGGTAGGTACCTGCTCCTGGGTCTGCAGCACTCAGCACATCACCTCTGGCGTTCCCCTTTGCGGGCAAAAACCTCCCAAACAGGGTCAGGGCTGCCCATGGAGCAGCAGGAGATGCAGTCCCCAGCCATCACTTGCCTCCTGGTAGAAAAGACCTCATTGCAGCTGGGTTTCCCTGAAGGTGGTCACCAACCTCTTCCCTCCCGTGCTGCGCAGAATTCAATTGGGACTGCGCACAGAGCAGGCAGTCTTCACATCCTCGTGAAGAAACCAGACTTGCTAAAAGGAGTACCCACTCGGTTTTTAACTGGAGGACTTCAAATAAAGAGAAACCAAGTTACAGACATCCTCAGCAGATCTCCCCAGGAGGCAGAAAATGCTTTCGGTTGTATTCTGCTGTTAGTGGTAACCCCAGATAAGAGTGCTGCTCCTTGTCATGGTATGGGCTTCTAGGGCGAGATGAATAGGTATGAAATTAACGCCGCCTGAAAGACAGTTGCAACCTCAAGAAATATCTCTGCTTTCATCTTTTACTTCTGGTCACCCTCCGGTATTCAGGGTACAGCTCAGGGATAAGGAAGTCTGAGAGAGCTGCTGGAAAGACTTTCATTCTGACTCATACCTGAAGGAGAGGAAAAAGCATTTCTGTTTCTCCAGACAAAGAGGCATTGCATCCCTTGTAAGCAGAGAGACTTTTCCTGGGAAGGGCTAAATAGGACTTGCTGACTTCCCAACTGCAAGGCACCAGGAGGGTTTCAGAATAGGAAATAAAGAGCAAAGGATGTGCTCTGCAAGGACACAGTGGGCAGAAGAGGAAAAAAAAAAGCCTCTTTTTTTTTTTTTTAATTCCATCTCTCTCTGAGTTGCCTTCCAAATTTGAAAACTTCTTTCTCTCAACACCTGGAGAGACTGGTGGTGCTTTCACACCAGCAGCATCTCCTCCTGCTCTGCGGCCAGGCTGCCAGGTCAGCTCGGGGAGGCAGGCGCTGGCAAGTTCCAGCTCTAAAGCACTTGGTAAAGAAACACCTGCCCTGAACGATCGAAACACCATTCTCCACAGCACACCCTGCCTTTCTTTGTGGGAAAGCCTGATGGTGGTGGTTGTCTACAGAAAGGGATTGTCTTGACTCGCAAGAGCTTCTCTGAAGTCTCCTCTGCGGGACTGATGGGCAACTGTAGCTGCTTGGGGGTCCCAGAGGGAATTCCCAGAGGGAATCTCCTCTCTCCCAGTGCTGTGACACCAGGGCTTCCCTCTGCGGACTGCAGAGACTTGCCAGAGCTGCATGAGGTTTTTTTTTTTTTCTTTGATATATGGCTTTGCTCAAGCGGAAAGCAGTTACAGCTGAGCCTGTGGCAGAGCTGGAATGAGTAAGCAGATGCACAACGTGGTTTTGGAGAGCCAGCAGAAATGTCCCCTGAGGGTGTGTGTGAGCAACCTGCTCTAGTGGGAGGTGTCCCTGCCCAGGGCAGGGGGGTTGGAACTTGATGATCTTTAAGGTCCCTTCCAACCCAAACCATTCTATGATTCTATGATTTAATTCCTTGCAGATAGGGAGAAAAAGGGCTAGTGTGGAGATGTTATGGAGATGCTATGTCCACATAAACTTGCAAGCATCCATACATTGATGGTAAAAGAGCATATATGGTTCTGTTTTGACTCTCTCTGCTATGCAGAGCACCTGCTGGGACATTTTGGTCCTGCAACTAACTTTCACTGTAAACCGTGGCTGTTTGCATCATGTTTGACTTCTGCTTTGAAGGCGCGCCAAAAGCTTATCCAAATGATCGTCGTGAGGAGCAGATTTCAACCCTGGCAAGGCTCACAAGCCTGAATGGTATGTTTGGAAGTGCTCCTGACAGCTGCTGAGCTCAGGAGGCCACTGCCTGTTCTCCTCCCTGAGGCTGCCAGCCACAGCTGAATGGTGATGGCACCGTGTCGCTGGGTGTAGCTACAACCGACACTTGTGCTGTTTTCATGTTTGTGCTCTGGCAGAAAGCCAACCACATCCTGGGCTGCATCAAAAGAAGTGTGGCCAGCAGGTTGAGGGAGGTGATTCTGCCCCTCTGCTCTGCTCTGGTGAGACCCCACCTGGAGCACTGTGTCCAGCTCTAGAGTCCTCAGCACAAGAAGGACATGGACCTGTTGGAATGGGTCCAGTGGAGGGCCATGAAGATGATCAGAGGGAAGGAGCACCTCTGCTGTGAGGACAGGTTGAGAGAATTGGGGTTGCTCAGCCCGGAGAAAGAAGGCTCCAGGGAGACCTTATGGTCCACTGGAACAGGTTGCCCAGAGAAGTTGTGGATGCCCCATCCCTGGAAGAGTTCAAGACCAGGCTGGATGGGGCTACCCTACCTGGTGTCGTAGGAGGTATCCCTGCCCAGGGCAGGGGGGTTGGAACTCGATGATCTTTGAGGTCCCTTCTAACCTGAACCATTCTATGATTCCTCAAGAAAAGCAACAGCAGCAACTTGGGCTCACGTCCCAAGAAAGAGCTCTTCTAGCCTGAAGCCTTGCCAGGTTTTTCTGCATTTCTTTCAAGCGGAGGGACAGGAGCAAAACCCAGGCAGCTGTGACCTCCTGTCAGCCAGTACTGCCACGGAGCTGGGAGCTGTGTCGTTCAGGCTGTATCCTTTGGAAATGCTCTCTAAGGCTGGGCAGTGAGCAGGGATGGAGCCCCTGGGTCCCCCTGCAGCTCTCTGATGCAGTGATGCCCTTCACATCTCAGCAGCACAGAACCATGACACAGCTGTGACTGCACTGAACCCTGCTGGACATTTTTTTCCCCCCCTTCTCTTAATTTCTCCTCCAAAACTCTCCTCTATCTTTTCTGTCAGCTGGGTTGAGGCACTTCTAGAGGCGCATCCCTGCCGCAGCAGTGTCCTGTTCCTCCTGTGCTCTCCTGCAGCAGAGCTGCTGCCTGCCCAGAGACCACCCGGCAGCTTTTGGTGCTGTTGTGGGCACCAGCTGATCACATACATACCCAACCACTCGCAGATATCATCTCTGTGCCTCACTTCTGCAGGAAAACCCAGCAGAGGGAGCCTCATCCCTCCAGGTCACTGTCTTGAGTCAGACTGGGGCTGTTCCTCCATGGCAGAGAGGACCATGGTGTCTTTGATCAAGGAGCATATTCATGCCCTGCCAGTCATGATGCTGGATTACCGAGGTGCTGCTGAGCTGTTAGGAAATGGAGAGATGAGACCTTCCACTCTCCTCTGCTTCTTGGTGTGTTGGCTCCCTTTGGCAGAGCTGAAGCTTGGGCTGTGCTTTGCCCCTGCAGAGTATGGGACAGCAGAAGGTTAGGGCTTTGAGGAATGGTTGCCTTTGATGCACTTCATTGGTTAACAGCCTGGTTTGGGTTTTGTTTTTTGTTTGTTTGAGGTGGTTTTTTCTGTAGAAAAAGAAAAAAATGGACTGCTGAAGGCATGGTAACCTTGTTCTCAAGGCCCCCCTGAACCTGAACTGCAGAATCCTCTAGAACAGGCATGGTTGTCTGGGCAGCTAATGGTGGACAGATGTGGTAACCAGTGTTTACTGGGGTAACACAGCAGACGTGGCTTGGTAGTATGCTCTTCTCTTGCATGTCTCTCATCCTAGATGGTAGGTCTGACCCAGCTGCTGACTCTAGGGCTACCCTCACCGCACCAACGGCTGAAAAGCAGACTGGACCCGCATGGACAGTCCCGGCTGGCCACGAGAGGAGAGCACGAGGCCCCGGCAGATGCCCACGTCAGCAGAGGCTGTGGGAGCCCAAATCACAGTGCTGCTGTGCTGAGGTGGGGATTTCTGTGACCTGGCTCGGTACCGTGTGGGTTTTCAGCTGAAATACAGATTTATGCAGAAGCCGTACGTCAGAACCGGTGTAGTGCAGCAGCAGCTTTGCTTTGCCAGCATCATTTGCTGCCTTTGAGGTACAAATATTAGCCAAAAAATGCGTCAGCCCACACGTTACAGTTAAATTTGACATATTCAGACTAAGGACATAATTTGCTTGCTATTTCACGATTTTTTTTCTCACATCTGGACAGAATATCTAAAGTCATGTTGTTGTCCCAAAACTCGAGGGATTGTTTACCTGATGTGCAAGCCAATAACACACAGGGTCGAGGTATTAGTTGTTTATTACCAGTTCTGTGCAGAAGAGGGTGCTAGGGGGTATTTCTGCGAAGCTAGCACACCCAGCATTGAAACAGTCATTCACTTATATGCTTTAAATTAGCATAATTAACATATCCATTGTTTATCAACTTTTTACTGGTGCTGATAATTCCTTATCTTGAAGCTGATTGGTATAAAATGTTCTTGTCTTCAGTTAAAGGTCTCTTAATTTTACTGTGCAGGCTTGGTGGGTCAGGGTCTTCAAGCGGAGGTGGGTATCCTAACACCTACAGGAGTGTTTTTCATCTCATAATTAGTCAAGTTCACCTTAAGGACCCATTTCCAAGTTTCTTGGGCAATCAGCCCACTGAAGTTGCTGCTACCTGGTTTTAGGTCCCCTTGTTCCTCCTATCCTATTGTCTTGTCAAGAATCATTTACTCAAATGATTTGTAGAGTTACAACCGGAGAGGTTTTGATATCAACGTTTATTTTTTTTTCTGTCATGATCTTTTCTGGATCCATTCCAGGCACAGTTAGCAATTTCCATGGTGCTTCATCACTGGTATAATAAATCAGGGTTTTCAAGAGGAAAAACAGGATTATCCTGGAGACAATTACCAGGGGTTTTATGAGTTTTGTGCGTTGCTAATGGAGGCCCCCCTGGCACAGGAGCAGCTGTCGGCCAAGAGAGGTGTGGGACACAAATACCCTTCGTTAATCTTTCTCTTTTTTTTTTTTTTCCCTTGGAAAACTTTTGACCAGTTCTGACCGCCGGGTGTAGCTGGATGTTACCACAGCAGAAAGAGGCAGAGTTGCACCGCTGGCTGAAGGGACTCCTCCAGAAAGGATCAAGTCAGGAGGTCCCATCGTCGACCCCAGACTGCATCCACTGGCCTGAACGAGTGACTTGAAATGCAAAGGTTCTGCCAAGGGTTTAATTAGTGTTGTCTCCGTGTTGCCTTGGGAAGAAGGCTTCAGCGTGATGTCAGAAAAAGCCAGATGTGGACTCGTTTCACACTTTGGGATGCTGTTTTGGAAGAAGATGCTGAGACCATCATTCCCTGTGCTAAGCTGGCAGTCCTGCAGCTCAGAGCTGAGAGAGACGGAAGAATCCGCCATGTCCCACTGCACGCTATTTCCCAAGGGATCTAGCAACAACGTAAGCAAGTGCGTCCTCATATATCCCACTTTTTGCTGGTGTGGTTCGACAGCACGTGTCCTCAAACATGCTCTTTGCCCTCTGCAGCTGCTGCACAGATTTGGGTGCTGCAGCGAGTGACAGTCCTACAAGGTGAGCCCAAATGATGCCGCTGCAACGACCCGGCTTGGCAAGGACCTTTCCATCCAAGGGTGCAAAGCAGAGTGGGGGGCACCAGGCAAAGCCTCCATCTTTCTAACAAATGCCCTCAGGTTTAAGAGGCTGAATTCTGATAAAGCAGCACGTACGGCAGGACCAATTTTTGTTACTTATTTAACTTCTGAAAGTCTGCCCCCCGAGCTGCAGAGATACAACGGATGGAAAGATTCTCGAGACACACAAGTGATGGTGGTGAGTAGTTTTCCTTGTCACTTTCCCCCTTTTTGAACAGAACATAATAATCTAGTTGAGGAAGACTTTTCCTGCCTGCCTCTAGGAAAGAAGCGTCTCCTCAGGCGAGGATAGGGTGGCTGAGGGTTTTGAGTTGAAGCAGTGCTGGTCCCATACCCAGACCTTCAGTGGTCTCACAGCAACCTTCTAAACTTGAATTAATTTGAACTTAATACTCTGACTATGATGGATGCTGTGCTCCTTCCCTGTCATTACCCCAAGGGTCCTAATTTGGCAAACACTATTGGTGTATCATGGAGAATATATAGGATGGCACAGGTAGGAGGGTCACATTTCCTCCAGGAACACAGCTTTTATTCACTTCACTCCTTTTTGCTCCCTATTTTGCAAATAACGTGAAAGAATCAAAAGAAAACAAGTAATGTATTTTACGTTTAAGCTTGAATGTGGGTAACAATTACTCTGATCTCTGTTTTAAGATGACACTCTGAAGCCAGAGCAAGAGAGTATCTGACTATTTAATGTGCCAATGTCATCCTGAATCCCCTTTAGCTTGCATCATCCCAGCAAAAAGAAAAAGCAAGACCAGGATATAAAGCTAAGCAGCAGATGTGAGCAGAAACAATACAAGAACTTTGTATGCAAGCAGGTGAACAGGCACGGGGTCTGCGCAGGATGGTCCAGCCTCAGCAGGTGGGTACTTCTTGCACTCCCAGCTCTTGGGACGACCCTACAATTTGACGTTCCCCTCAAGCTGCCCCCAGCAGCTTGCACAGAGGCAGGAAGATGCCTCCTGCTCTCCTGTGCTTTCAGTGCCCTCCCAGACGCTGGCAGGGCAGCAGACTGCTCCCAGGCTTGTCCCTTCAGAAAGGAGAGGAGCTCTGAGACCTGCAGGGATGCTCCTTCCCTGGCCACCCGCAGTGAGACAGGGCGGGTTCTGCCAGCGCTGCAGCCTCCGGATGCGGGTCTCACCTTCTCCCTTTGCACAGGAAGGCAGCACTAGCAGCTCAAAGCTGTCGGGCTGCCAAAAGTTGAGGTCAGGTCCAGCTCAGGGCTCCTGGTGTTGCTGCTGCGATGGAGGAAGGGAGCTACCTCCAGCAGGAAATCCTTTGAGCCGCAGAAAGCATCTCCTGCCTGGCTGCTGGAGGATGGCTTTGCAAGAGGGGCTGAGGCAGCAGCAGGGGAAAGATGCCCTTTAGACTCTCGTGAGAACAAGAAATGCAAAAGACTTTCCAAAGAAGGCGCAGCACATTAATGCTGCCCTCACACCACTGGATTACAGCCCTTGTGGGGAAGCCCTGGGTCACAGCCTTGCTCCAACGGCTGCGGAGCAATCACTGGAACCTCTGAAAAGAGGCAGATGTCCCTTAGCAGAGATGCCCAGCGCTGCCAGGGCAAGGCCATCCTCTTGCCAGCTTGGGCAAATGGGCTGCAGCACCTGCCCCAAATTGCTGATAGAAGGGCTGCAGGACAGAGCTGTGGGGCTGCAGAAATCATTCTTGTGCTTTGGCTGAGCAGGGTCCTATCTAGAGGGCTCACACCGGGAATCTGCAAGGGAGGGAGACAGCTGGTGCTGTCCTGTTGCCCACCACCCTTTGGCTTTGTCCTGAATTTTGGTGAATCCTCTAGGCAAGCATCTGAGTGTTTGCCTATAAAAAAAATTAAAAAAATAAGCCTGGTTGCCCAAGGGTGGCAAGGCACCTGAAGGCAAGAGCTGCTCTGCTGCGCCCGGCTGCGATCCTGCTGCTGGGACCCAGGCAGCAGCTCAACCTTCTCCTCTGGTCACAGTCTTTGCTTTACAATTTGGAGAAGGTGTGTCATGGCCCACATGAGGCATTGTGTATTTCTTACATATTGTTTACCGGCTCCTTCTTGCAAAAGGCTGCACCTTGCAGGTTGCAAATAGGAGTACACGTTAATAACAGTAAATCCTACCCAAAGAAGAGTGGTGGTTTGAAAGAACTGTATTTTGTGGTTTGCTCTCCTCTGCTCTAGGAAGTAAGCCCGAAGGTACTCAGTATGTGTAGAAACACTACAAGGGTAGATTCTTACAGGAAATTAAATTTCTAGAATGAAAGATAATCCACTCTCTGCTGCTTTTTCCCAGGGGAGGAGGAAGAGGGAGGGAGGGAGAGAGAGGAGGGAGAGAAGAGGCAGCTGGAGGGATTGTCAGTTTTGTAGAACTGCCCAGGACAGAAGAAAATGCACAAGCTGAAAGAATTAATAATGAAATATGCCCTTATATGTAAGAATTGTGCAACCACACTGCATGTAGTATCTTTATTATAACACTTCAAATATGGTGATATCTTGTAGAGAGAAATAGATCCATAGTCCAAGCTTCAGAATGCCATCGCATTTACTTATTGATATTTGTATATATAAAAAAGATATGTATACACATATATGTGTGTATATATATACATGTGTGCATGTGTATATATGTATCAATATGTACATCTATATGTACATCCACGGATAACCATTCACATATAAATCTTTCAAAGTATTTCAAAGTATTTCAAAGTAGTCTTTCAAAGCTACCAAGTTGGAACAGTAACTGGGAGGTTAACCCCAGCCGTATGCTCAAGACCAGTGACCACACTGGCACATCTGTTGCTTAAAGTGTCCAAAGATTTCCCTTGTGGGGAACCCTGAGTGACGTCCAGGTTTTGGGCACCTCTAGAGCCTCTGGCCACTCAAACCAGCCACTGCTGACTGCTTTAGCTACCACCTGTATTACAGGATGCACGGTGTGCTACCCTGGTTCGTGTCTCTCTCCATCCTGTTTTGGGCATCTGCAGAACAATCAGCCCCTTGGCCAGCAGCTCTGCTAAGAGCAGCCACCACCCTGGCCTGTGGCTCACCAGCCAGTGGGTCCACAGGAAGCTTTTGCATGTGACTCGCACACTATTTTTTCCACTCTTCTGCCTTTTTTTTCTTGGTAACTCTTTCTCCACTCATCATATGGGTTTTTTCTTGACACCCACAGCGTAATTTATAGGCTACGGCTTCCAAATCCTTCCAGTCCAGGAAGGCCCTTGTAACAGATGAGAAGTCAGGATCATACCTGGATATTCCTCTACATTGATTTCAACAAAACACATGCACAGCATTTATTTATTGTTGCTTATCTAATTATTCACTCACTAAGCTCTTTCTGGGCTGGAAACCTTGTTCAGATCTGTCAACTGGGAGCCAGACCCAGGCAGGATGCCTTAAACTTGGGCACCCTTTCCCTCCAAAGAGTGGGTTCCCTCTCCTGCCGTGAGCTCTGTCCCTGCCTACAAGCCAATCCACTCTACTGGAGATGAGAGAAGGAGCGGCCAAGTGTCCCGAGTTCAGAAACATAAACAGTTCCTTTCAGCACTGAATCTGAAGTGGGGGAAGAAAGGTTTCTGAGGCACCTCTCCATGCTGCTCAGAGAGTGTGGGAGTCTGCTTGTAATTTCGGCCTCGCGTTCACAAAGCAGGCAGGGCAGGACATGACAAAGGAAGGAGAGGGAGATGCTAAAAAACACGCTAAAGAGTAAGAACACCAAAGCAACCATGATAATAGCAAGCTCGAGCAGCTGCTTCCACTTTTCCTGTAGTGACAGAACGAGGGGTAGTGGCTTCAAACAGGAAAAGGGGAGATTTAGACTAGATATCAGGAAGAAATTTTTCAGTATGAGGGTGGTGAGGCACTGGCCCAGGTTGCCCAGGGAAGTTGTGGCTGCCCCATCCCTGGTTGTGTTCGAGACCAGGCTGGATGGGGCTTTGAGCAACCTGGTCTGGTGGGAGGTGTCCCTGCCCAGGGCAGGGGGATTGGAACTCAATGGTCTTTAAAGTCCCTTCCAACCTTACCCATTCTATGATTCCTGTCCTAAAAGGCTGTCCAAACCATGCATCCTTGTGGATGTCCTGCTGGGACAATTTCTCAACTTCAGGTCACCTGTTCAGGATGAAAGTTTTTCACTTGTAGCTCTACAAGATGGTGTCAACAAAAGATGACTGTGAAGACGTTGCGTGCACAGAGGAATGCTTGTCCAGGCCGCAACGATCAAAACCACTGTAGTCTTTGCAGATCAACAGAAAACGTGCGTATCTTCTGAAAGCTTCATGAAGATGCTTCTTGAACTTCTCACCCACGAAGGCATAGATGACCGGGTTGAGGCAGCAATGGACAAAGGACAGTGCCTCAGCCAGCTCCATGGCTAAGTCTAGCCTTTGGCTTGTCTGGCAGTCGTCAATAATGTACATGTTCTTCAGAGAGTCCAGAAAAAGCACAACGTTGATAGGGGTCCAGAAGAGGAAGAACACAATGACAACAATAAACACCAGTTTCATTGCTTTGTACTTGTTTTGAGTATGGCACTTCTGCAGGTTTTTCAAGATGCTGTAGTAGCAGAAAATGAGGACACCCACAGGGATCAGCCACCCCAGGACATTGACTTCAAAATTACTGAAAGTCTTCCAGCCATTGCTGCTGTCGGGATAGTGAGGGAGGCACTTAGTCTGGTTATTGTCATTCATTGCCTGGAAAAAAATGAAGTCTGGGGCTGATGCTAAAATGGCGACTGCCCAAAGGGCCAGGCTGGTGACAACCCCATGGGTGGTTGTCCGAACCTGTAGAGCGTAGACAGACCGGACAATGGCCAAGTACCTGTCGACACTCATGATGGTTATGAAGAAGACACTGCTATAGAAACCAATGAAGTAAGCTGAGCTGATGATTTTACACATCACATTTCCGAAAGTCCATTGGCTCCTGATTGAGTACTGAACCAAGAAGGGGAGGGAGAAAACAAAGAGGAGGTCAGAGATGGCGAGGTTCAGCAGATACACATCAGTCATTGCCCTGACTTGCTTGAAGACTGTTAGGACCCAAACGACCAAAGCATTTCCCACAAGACCAATCACGAACAACAGGGAGTACAGGACTGGAAAAAAGGTAGATGCAAATGCTGGAATATTTTCAAAGTCACAGTTGATGTCCAGTTCTGGGTAGAAGCCGTACTCATAGGCTGCAGAGGAGTTAGGTGTTGATGGCATGTAACCCACCTGTTCAAAGACAATGAAGTTCATGAGGCCCAAATTACTCTCCTAGTAAATGCAGTGGGCACAAGTCAGCTCACACCAAGCTGCATGAGGACAAAACAGCTGTGCCTCAGCTGCGCTGGAGGATGAGAATGAGGAATGAACAGGAGTGACCAGTCCTCCCCTGCAAGATCCAAGATGAGGTTCTTGCATCAGAAGGGCATAGAAGGTCAAGGAAAATGCAGCTGTGGTGGTAAACCAGAGGTTACCAGTATCCCCACGCTGGCTCCATGTGGGGTGCCTAGCCCCGTGCCTGCAGTCCAGGTGGATGTGGCGGGGTACTGGGGCCAGAGCCAGGGAGCATCCCAAAACCAGCAACCAAATGGGCTGAGAGCCCCTGACAAAGGTTTCAGGGTACTATTCCATGTTTCCTTCAGAAAGGAGAAAGGGAGCAGTGCTCGGGGAGGAACTGACATGTAAACTGACATGTAAACGTTCATCTCCTATGATTCTATGATTCTAAAAGCTGCGTTTCCAGTTAGCTGAGTGTCAGAAATACCCCTCCTGGGACAAGTTACTTTTGCACAGCATTCCCAGATGGTTCGAGCAGGTTTTCAGCTGTAAAAGCACCCGCACATACAGGTCACCCGTGGGTGCTGCACGGTGCCCGCTCTCTCCACCCTGAGTGAGATCAGCAGTGGCAGCTCTGACCTGAGGGGCAAATTCCCAAAGAGCAGATGGGGGGTTTCTGCCCCTTCTTCCCTCCTCCCCAGCAGGAATTTTGCCCTCTTGGCCTGTGCCGCTGGCAGCAGCTGCTGGCAGCAGCTTATGCTCACCGAGACTTTGCTAATGGGGACAGATGGATTTCCTTTCAACCCCAGCAGCTTTGCCCTGCTGGCACCTGTCAGGAAGCACCACCAGCAGCAACGTTTCCCCTCCCTGTTCCCTGGCCCCTCGCAGCCCCACCAGAATCAACCACCACATCCCTGGGCAGCATCTGTGACAGCAGGCAGCTAAGGAGGAAGATGGGTGGCAGCACATCCCCCAGTCTCATCAGCCAAAGATATTTTCACTCACCGTTTTGTCCAGAGAACAACAATCACACCGATTTCTTCTAAACCTTCCCTGTCCCTACCAGTGCTATGTGTCCCCTTGGGCAAAACCCAGACCCCTGGGATGTGCTACTGGCCTCGGCTCGCAGGGCAGCAACCTGGTGGGGAACGACTCACCGACACGTCCTCAGAGACCCTTCCGTCCAGCAGGTGGGTCAAGTTCTCCTCCATAATCCAACACTGTGTCTGAAAGAGTGAAAAAAAAAAAAAAAAAAAAAAAAAAAGCAGCAGCCTTTAATTCACAGGTTTTTAAGAAGTGGGTATACCTTCACACTTGTTTGCTGGCAGTATTTACCTTAGCTTGTGTTGCAATGACAAGTCCCAGGCAAGGTCCTCACTGTAGCAGTGCACAGTCATAAAATACCTTTTCCTCTGTGCGATATGTGTTACATTAAAGACTTATAAAGCCCCAAGCCAAAGAGTTCACCTCTTTCGTTGACACTCTGAGAAAAGGAAACACGTTTATCTTCTAAATGATCTATGTCTTTTCACTTTGAGCACTGATACCAACGTCAGCTGAAGAGACGTGCAATTTCCCCCATGCGTCTGCAAAGTGCCCTCATCCCTCACCTGAAGCCCTTGCTCTGCAGCCCCCGTGGCTGGGAGAGGGGAAGCACTGCTGTCTTTCCTCTGCCCCCAGGATTTTTGGTGAAGAAATCTGAAGGGGACGGCCCAATGCTGCCCATAGCCAGCGATGGCAAAGGGCACCATGTTTCCTTTGACATTTTCCCTTGGAAGGCACCTTCCCCCAGCACCCACTCGCCCACCCACAGAAATACCCAACGGAACCAGTCACAGAATCAGTCATAGAATCATTTTGGTTGAAAAAGACCTTTGAGATACATTGAGTCCAACGTAACCCTAACACTGCTGAGTCCGTGTCAACCTTCCTTCACAAAACATGCACCCTGCAGGACGCTCTCACAGACTAACACTGAAGTAAAGCCCTGAACACCACTGGATTTCCACCAACTCTGCTAAATATTGCCGCTCCTCACCATAGCCCCGTGCTGTTACTATAATTCAGGCAAGTCACATCACCTTCTTATTTTTTTTTTTGGTTTAGAGCAAACAGTACCTCACCAAGTGTCAGTCCATAGATGTGCTGCTGGAGTTCCCCATCTCTCTCAGCCCCCCTGAATGCCCACCTTCCTTCAACATCGCTGCAAAGGCAGAAGGATAAATCTCTGTGAACTGAGAAAATGGGCAGCTATTTCACACGTGGCAGTGGCTGGCTTTCTTTAGCTGTGGGAGGAAGTGGGATATTGGGTCAAAGTTTTACGTGTGAATCAAGCAATGTGCATAGAATAGTCCAATTGACATCCAAGCTCTGCTGGGTATTAACTCTTGGAGTAGCTGAAACCAGAAACCTAAACCAGAAACAAATTCTGCCGCCATAGGAGTTGCTGGCAGTGTTGAAGTGGCATCTCCACTATCTGTTTGCTGGTTTAAAATGGCACTCAAGTCTTTGTCAGTGTTGGTGATGGAGAAGACACCCAGGAATTATGCAATGTGGAAAACCAGGTGGCAGCCACAGAGGAATTTGGCACCTTAGGCAGTTATGTACCTCTCGAGTTGAGATCCCGAGCACAAGGAACAAGCAGCCCCAGCGTCACCAGGACTGCTGGGGTGGTGTGAAATGCCCAGGAATTTCCCAGCGCAGCAAGGAGAGAAGCTGACAAGCCACCCCACGTGGTTGCTGGGACTGAAGGTGACACCTGGGATGCTGAAACCACAAACATCGTGCTTGGGGGAGGTGTTTCAGCGAGCCTGAGCGAGAGGGGAGCAGGCTGCATTTGCACAGAGCCTGCTGCAGGACATCCTCTGGTGCCTGTGCTGGCTGGTGCAGACACAGGAGTACAGAGCACCCTTGGAGCCATCGCTGCACCCACGGCATGGGTGGTGGCTTCACAGGCCTTCCTGGGGTCAGGCTTTGTCCCCTGCCGGAGATGCCAAAGGGCACCTCTTCTTGCAGCTCACCGAGTTCCGTCACCGGCTTTTCCTATGGGGGAGGCTTTGGCCAGAGGAGATGAGACACCAGTGGGCATCACACATGGCAGTGACACAGGCCACTTGCACCTCATTCACAGGGGACAGAAACAGCCAAATGCCACTGTCAGGAGACCCTGGCTGTGCCCTGCATGGCAGCAGGAAGCTCTGTCTGAGGGGAGCCCAAGAACAAGGCAAACTGGCCACCAGCCTGCTGCTGGCCAAAGCTAAGCCCATCAGAGATGTTGGTAGCACCTCTGTGATAATATATTTAAGAAAGGGTAAAAAATGCTGCGCAACAGCAGCTAGGAGAGAGGAGTGAGAACATGTGAGAACTTTGCAGATGCCAAGGTCAGTTGAAGAAAGAGGGGGAGGAAGTCCTCCAGGTGCTGGAGCAGAAATTCCACTGCAGTCCATGGTATCCAGGTGCTGGAGCAGAGATTCCACTGCAGTCCATAGTGAAGACCAAGGTGAGGCAGGTTGTCCCGCTGCAGCCCATGCAGGTCCACAATGGAGCAGACAGCCACCTGCAGCCTGTGGAACTCTCCACGCCAGAGCTGGGGTCAGCACCCTGAATGAAGTTGCAGCCTGTGGAGAGCCCATGCTGGAGCAGGGCTCCTGGCAAGGGCTGTGGCCTCATGAGGAGCCCACACAGGAGCAGGTTTTCTGCCAGGAGCTGTGCTCCCGTGGGGGACAAACCCTGGTCTGCTCCTGAAGAACTACACCCCGTTGAAAGGAGCCATGTTGGAGCAGTTCGTGAAGAACTGCTCGTGCAAAGTTGTGTTGGAGACGTTCGTGAAGGACTGCAATGCAGGTCCACAATGGAGCAGACAGCCACCTGCAGCCTGTGGAACTCTCCACGCCAGAGCTGGGGTCAGCACCCTGAATGAAGTTGCAGCCTGTGGAGAGCCCATGCTGGAGCAGGGCTCCTGGCAAGGGCTGTGGCCTCATGAGGAGCCCACACAGGAGCAGGTTTTCTGCCAGGAGCTGTGCTCCCGTGGGGGACAAACCCTGGTCTGCTCCTGAAGAACTACACCCCGTTGAAAGGAGCCATGTTGGAGCAGTTCGTGAAGAACTGCTCGTGCAAAGTTGTGTTGGAGACGTTCGTGAAGGACTGCAACCCATGGGTGGGACCCCACGCTGGAGCAGGGGAAGAGTGTGAGGAAGAAGAAGTGGCTGAGATGCAGTGTTACCAACTGACCACATCTCCCATTCTCTGTCCCCCTGTGCCGCTTGTGGGGAGGAGGTAGAAGAGTTGGGAGTGAGGCTGAGCCTCAGAAGAAGGGAAGAGTAGGGGGAAGGTGTTTTTAAGATTTGTTCTTATTTCTCATTCTACTCTGCTTAATTGGCAATAAATTAAATTAATTTCCCCAAGTTGAGTCTGTTTTGCCCGACGGTAATTGCTGCGTGATCTCCCTGTCCTTATATCGACCCACACACCCTTTGTCATATCTCCTCCCCCCTGTCCTCTGAAGGAGGGGGAGTGATAAGAGTGGCTTGGTGGGCACCTGGCGACCAACCAGGGTCAACCCACCACAGTCCTCTGTGGCGCCCAACATGGGGCATGAGAAATTTGAGATAAGGATAGTTCTTGGGAGAGGTAACGAGCAAAACACTGACTGAACTTTGCTGGAGAGCATCTAGCGTAATAATAGTGGGGAATTTTTGTTGTTGTAATTGTGGTGAAGGGACGAGGGATGGAACACGTGTCAATTGTCCACTTTTGTCAGCGTTATGATGATGCCATTTTGGTGTGGGGAATTCTTTTGTTGATGTTGAGTGAAGTTTGTGAAGATTGTAGATCGTGTGATGAGTATGTGTTTTAATGACAATTCTTAAACACATGACTCACAGAGGCGAGGGGAGGAATGTATTGGGTTTATGTGGTAAGGTTTTGGCAGTGGGGCGGTTGCAGGCTGGTTTCTATAAGCAGATGCCAGGTGTCCCCATGTCAGACAAAGTCAGTACCAGACAGCTCCAAAATTAACCGATTTCTGGCCAAAGCTGAGCCCATCGGTGACATTGGTAGCGTCTCTGTGATAACATTATTTAAGAAAGGGTAAAAAACGTGAAGTCCCCATGTCAGACAAAGTCAGTACCAGACAGCTCCAAAATGAACCAATTTCTGGCCAAAGCTGAGCCCATCGGTGACACTGGTAGCGTCTCTGTGATAACGTTATTTAAGAAAGGGTAAAAAAGGTGAAACAGCAGCTGTGGGAGAGGAGAAAGGTGACAGACACCAAGGTCTGTGGAAGAGGAGGAGGAAGAAGTGCTCCAGGCACCACAGAATTGATTCTCAGGCAGCCCGTGGTGAAGACTATGGTGAGGCAGGTTGTACCCTGTGGAGGTCCATGGTGGAAGAGTTTTTGCTAGCCTGCCTGCTACATTTTCTCAGAGAAGAAGAGTTTTTTGTGCCCAGGGCTATTGCTGCACTGGGGATTTTCTTTCTAGGAAGAGCCCAACTCGGCTGGAGCTGCTGCTCTTTCCTCGGCCGGCCTGTGGCAAGCTGGCCAGCCAGATTCTCAGAAGAGCAGCTCCTGGAACCAGCTGCAAGCTCCTCCCGGCCTCCTCCTGCTTCCCTGATAAGAAATGGCTGGCTCTGTGGGCACGGCCGAGATGCGGGGCTCTGAAGGCTTGAAATAAACAGGCATTTTAGCACCTCATGCCTTCCATGCTCTGGAAACCCAGCCTTCCTCTGCTCCGGGCCCAGGACGTGGAAGACCAGATGGGAACACCGGTGGTAAGGCAGCACCAGGGAGAAGCTGGGGGTTCTGAATCCCCCCCAGTCTCCACAGCAAGCCGGGGGGAGTAGGGCGGCGCCGCTGAGGGAAGACATGGAGAATACCCGTTATGAACCGACCCCTGCTGCCCGCACCCGTCAGAGCCCACTGGGACTCTTGCTACTGGCTGCGGAACAGCCAAGAGAGGTGGCAAAAATGCGACCCCGGGGAGGAAGCGACGGGATGGGCCCGGGCCGGGCCCTCTTGGCGGCGGCGGCGGCACCACCAGGCCCCGGACCGCGGGAGAAGGGGCGGGGTGGGGGGGGGCGGTGCTCGTGGGTCAGCGCGGGGGGAGTGAGTGCGCACGCGCCCTGCTGGCTGCTCGGATTGGCCAGCGGCGGGGGGGAGTACTGCTTGCGTCACTGCCGTCCGGCGCGCTCACTGGCTGCGGCGCGGGGATGCCGGGGCAAGAGGCTGAGGTACTGAGGCGCGGCCCGGCCCTTGGGACGGCGGTTACCGGCCGTCGTCGCCGGGCCCCCTTCGGTCGCTCGGCGGTAGGGTCCGGGTGGGAGGCGGCGGCGGTGAGGGGGGGGAAGGACGACGTCTTGCTGCGCCCCTTCCCCTCTTCCGTCGTGGAAAGGCTTCCCGGTTCTTGGGAGGCGGCCCCCGGGGCAGCCTGAGGGACGGGAGGGAGGGAAGGAGGGAGGCGCGGGCCCAGCCCCCGTGAGGCGGCAGCAAACTGCCGGGCAGTCCCACCGGCGGGCTCAGGCGGTGGGGAGGTGGGCGGCCCGGCTCATGCAGCGCGGCCGGAGGGTGGTAAGGGGTTTTTTGAGGTGTCTGGAAGGCGGCGGTGGAAGGCCCTTCAGAAACCACCGTGCTGCAAAAGTCTTCTCTGGCGCCGTAGAGAAGGTGGGGTAGAAACTCCTTCTTCAGAGAAATTCTTTGCTGTGAGGGTGGTGAGACCCTGGAACAGGTTGCCCAGAGAAGCTGTGGCTGCCCCATCCCTGGAGGGGTTCAAGGCCAGGCTGGATGGGGCTTGGAGCAACCTGGTCTGGTGGGAGGTGTCCCTGCCCAGGGCAGGGGGTTGGAACTTGATGGTCTTTGAGGTCCCTTCCAACCCAAACCATTCTGTGATTCATGAACAAGAGGCAGCTGGTGTGGATAGCAAAGCCAGATTTTAGCTGAGCAGGCTGGGGTGTGCTTTGGGTGTGTTTGAGCTAGATTTTGGGTGGTGGGCAGTTTTAAGGGAGAGCTCCGCTAGCCCCCATGGCAGTGGGGGGCCCTTGGTCTTCAATGGGAAAGAAGTGTTGGTGGCGCTGCCAGCGCGATGCCGAGCCGAGGTGGATGGGACCGGGGCTAAGGCACAGATAGCTAGCAGGGTGCTGGAAAAGGTTTCCTTTGACATTTTAAATGGCTATTAAATGGTTGCTAATATATTTCGTAGAATACTGGCTTGGAAGGGACACCAGGGATCGTCTGGTCCAACCTTAGGTGTTTAGAAAACTTTTCAAGGACTGAATTACAAGGGGATTCTGGAACAATCTCCCAGGAAAGACAGAGGAATCAAAAAGCACAAATAAAACCTGATTGGGCTCTGAGAAGGTCTGAAAGACTTTCCTGTGCTCTAAGCAGCAGTCCTTGGCTAGTCTTACTTAGCAAGTGACATATCAGCTCCTATATTTCCTCTCGTGCTATTCTTAATTAAATGACAATTTAAAGTCCTCTTCTTCCTCTTCCAGATGCATCCAGTCCTAAAGGCCTTTGTGTGTGGCTCTATCAGTGGGACTTGCTCCACGCTCCTCTTCCAGCCCCTTGACCTGCTGAAAACCCGCCTGCAAACTCTGCAGCCTGCTGTGAATGGGTGAGTAGGACCACAAAGATGATGAGGGGCCTGGAACATCTCTCTTACAAGGAGAGGCTGAGGGACTTGGGTCTTTTTAGTCTGGAGAAGAGAAGGCTGAGGGGGGATCTGATCAATGCTTATAAATACTTAAAGGGTGGGTGTCAGGAGAATGGGATCAGTCTTTTCTCAGTGGTGCCCAGGGACAGGACAAGAGAAAACGGGCACACGCTTGAACATAAGAAGTTCCACCTAAACATGAGGAGGAACTTCTTCGCTTTGAAGGTAATGGACCATTGAAACAGGTTGACCAGAGAGGTGGTGGAGTCTCCTTCTCTAGAGACATTTAAAACCCACCTGGATGTGTTCCTGTCTAACCTGCTGTAGCTGAACGTGCTTTGGCAGGGGGTTGGACTAGATGATCTCCAGAGGTCCCTTCCAACCCCATAGCATTCTGTGATGCTGTGAGAGAGAATGGAGGTGTGTATGAGTGGTGTGTGTGAGCGTGCTCCACCATTCTGTCTGATTTGCATGCTGGGGCTTGAGATTCAGGGTTGTAATTCAGACACTGAGAATCTTTCTGAAATTGGAGGTATGTTTTTATAGCATGGAGAAGGACTTACATTTTGCTCCAGAAGAGAGCAAATGGCTGCTCTTGTGAAGACTATTTTAATAACTTTTATCCAGAGCATTTGTTTGAGGGACTGGTGTTTGCTGGAGTGGCCACCATGCAGTTTCACAGGGTGTCCTCTGCCTGAAAAATCGTATGTGGCTGCCACATAAACTGTCCACATGAGAAGGCTACTCCCATCAACTCTGACTGCTAGTGCTGCTAAGAAAGGGAGTGAGCAACTAGAGATGCTGAAGAGAGGCCTCTAATGTGTGTTACAAGCGGTGAGAAAGCAGAATGTGTCAGGAAACAAGTGACCAAGGAAAGCAGGCTGAGTCTAGAAGGAGCACCGCCGAGGTGCTGGATAATGCACAGAGATACAAGTGGAAGAGGGTGGCTGCACAGTACAGCTGCTAGAGAGCATAAACAGGCCATCTCTGCAGTTCCCATCTTGTCTTCTTTTCAGGTCTGGTCGTGCTGGAATGGTGACAGTGCTCTTTAGGGTTGTTCGTACTGAGAGTCTTCTGGGGCTGTGGAAAGGTGTCTCTCCAGTAAGTGGCTGTTTTAACCCTGACTTCTTGAAAAAAAAATACAGAAATAAACCTACCGTTCATTACTAACTATGGACTAGATTTAAATAGCCAGCTCTTGTACAATTATTAATGAGACCATGTGATTTAAATGGTTAAATCCTATCTTAAGGAGTGGATGTTGTGAATTCCACTGATGAGGTCACAGCAGTCACTGTGGATTTGCAGCCCTGAGCAGCTGAACACTTGAATACCATTGCAAATGTAGGCTGGCAACTGCACCAACCTAATTTTCTTTTGGAATATCTTGTTCCTAGAAAACTGCCGTTGAGGAATGTATGAAATCCTGGCATCGTTTGAATAAGTTGGTTTTCAATGTTGTAAATTGTCCCTGTAAATTGTAAATTTACCTTGTCTTCTTTCCTCAGCATGTTAGCTGAGGAAAAATCACTACAGTGAATTTTTTTTCCTTTTTTGTTTTGGTTCAAAGCTTCCTTGTCAAGTTTAACCGTCTCTGAAATAGTCTGTCGTGCATTTTGTCTTCTGTGTGTTTTTTCTTTCTTCATCTGCTTCTGTTTCTTCTCAAGTCCTTTGCAAGATGCATCCCTGGGGTTGGAATTTACTTCAGCACTTTGTATATGATGAAGCAGAAGTTTCTAGGGGACCGTTCACCCACAGCCCTGGAGTCTGTCTTTCTGGGTGCCACCGCGCGTGCGGTATCTGGGGTTTGCATGTTGCCGGTGACTGTAGTGAAGACCCGATATGAGGTGAGTGTGACTTTCTAATTAGCTCCTTGTTAATGATGTCCTTACTCATGATGAAAAAGAAACTTTTCCATTTGGAGAATGTTGCTGTCGCTCTGTCCTTACTCATGATGAAAAAGAAACTTTTGGAGAATGTTGCTGTCGCTTGAGTTCAGTCAGGGATGTAGTCCTGATTTCACCCTGGTTCACACATTGTGCAGGAAAAGCCATACGCTAATTATTTAGGCAAGTGGTTCACACATTGTGCAGGAAAAGCCATACACTAATTATTTAGGCAAGTGTAAGATAAAACAGAATTCACCCTGAGATTTTTTTTAAGTTTTAGTTGTATACAACGTGTCTTTCTTATTTTACCTTCTTGAAGGGTTGTTTTTAAGGCTGAGGTAGGTTGAAGACAGTTTTTGCCTTGGGCTGTCCTCTGTGCTGCCATCTCAACCACCACATGGAGCACACGCTTGTTTGGACAGAGTGGCCTTGGGGTGTCTGTAGGGCTCCTTGGCCCGTGCCTGACACACGGGTGACCGTTGTCTGCTTTTGCAGAGTGGAAGATTTGGCTATGGGAGTGTCTATGGAGCTCTGAAGAATATCTATCAGATGGAAGGGGCTCGTGGCATGTTCAGTGGGCTCACTGCAACGCTGCTGCGGGATGCACCCTTCTCTGGGATCTACCTGATGTTCTACACACAGACCAAAAGCTTCACACCTCAGGGTAAGGCTGAACCTCGGGGGCTGTAATGGGAAATGCTTCTTTTCTCACATCTTCCCCTGCGGTTGCCTGCTTTCATGCTCTGCTTGTTTCGACCTCAAGTAGTTAAATTAGTCTCTTGTAGGGCTTTAGGTGGGACACTTGCATTTTCCTGTGGAGAACTGTAGACCTATAGCTCAGGTCAGTGTATAAATGGAAATTAACCCTAAAATTCGTAAGGTGGGTTAGGGAGCAGTTGAAAGAGAAGATGTGTTCAGCTGTCCTTTCTGTTGGTGGTTGTCTTGAATGCTGATTAGTTTCCAATAGCCTGGGGTTTCTCTAGTATTAGAACTGGCTGGGGCAACACTTGCACAATCTTAACTTCTCTGGTCTCTGGCAAAATCAGTTGCCCAGCCAGCGAGGCTTTTTAATAGTGCTAATTTTTGACTTCTAGCCACTTTTTCCCTTGAAATGTTTCTCTACCCTGCATGAATTTTGGCTTAGACCCCAATGTTGATTTAATAATTGAGTAGCTTTTCGTGTTGTCGTGCAGCACCGAGTGTTCCTGGCCTGTTTTGTGTCTGAGTGCATTCCCTTTGCTCTGTTGCAGACCAAGTGGATCCAGTGCTCATGCCCTTGCTGAATTTTGGCTGTGGGATCTTTGCGGGAATCTTGGCCTCGCTGGCAACGCAGCCTGCTGATGTCATCAAAACACACATGCAGCTGTCCCCCCAAAAGTACCGCAGGACGAGCCAGGCCATCGCCTTCATCTACAAGGTGAGATGAATCCCTTCTAACAGGCACAATCACAGCCTCGCTTCTGATCTCCTCGCCCAAAGCACAGCTGTGATAAGAAAGTTGTTTTTTAAAGAAGGTGAACAAATGTGACTGTTGGATATGCTCTTGCAGTCAGGCTTAGTCAGCATCAGCATTTTCAGAGGCTGAGGTGGGTCGTGCTGTGGGAGACTGAGGCTGAATCTCTTGTCCCTGACTTGTGTGGACCTGTCCAGTAATAACTGGAAAGTACTCTTGTTGATAATCTGAAAGCAGTCAGAGGCTTAAGTCCATTTGTTGCTTTTCCTTGTAATTAGAGAGGCTATTGTCACTACTCAGGTGTTTCTTGCTCCTCTTGAATGGATTTCAAGGCAATAAACTTGCTCCATGATCGTTCTTGCCATTCTTCAGTCCTGTATCTGTTTTCACAAAATTACAGATGATGGGGAGCTGGAAAGCGAGCTCAGAGTACTGGAGCACAAAGGGCATATTCCAGTAAACATCGCAGGCCTGCCTTACATTTCAGGCTGTTGAATGATTTCACTTCAGTTCTGTGTGTTATGTATTGATTCTTACACTGGTGGTGCTGGAAAGTGCTTTGCTTCTTTCATCTTAACTTCATTTCAGCTTAGCTTAGTACGTGTAGGCTTGGAGGAGCTGTTCTTACAGCTGCTGCTGCCTGTAGTTTATACTGTAAGTACCTCTGTGATTACCACACTGGAGCAAAGGGTTTCTTTAGTATGTAGTGTGAAATGCTAGTTTCAGATAGAAGCCAGCTACAAAACAGTTTTTTGCCCTTTGGACACTAAAAGAGAAATGAGTGCCCAGATCTGTATCCCAGGAATGAGATGGAGATGCACTCAAAGCCCACCTTTCCCTTCCTGCCTTGGCAGTTTTGCTTTGTTTCCATATTGAACTCTACTCCTAAACAGAAGTCTCTTTGTACATGGTACATTTGTCTCATTTCAGAATGTTTTTTTACTTCAGTAGTTACATATCTTGGTTTTTACAGAATAGCTAAGTGACTTTTCTAAATACCAAGCTTTAAAACAAGGACAAGTCATTTTTCTGAAGCGTCTTGAAACCATCACACCTTCACCTTCTCTTCGTTGGGCTTAAGTGTGGCTTTCCCCATCTATTGTCCCCATCCTGGCATTCCCTTCTCCACTCACTGCTCCTCTTGCTTTCTTGGGTAGCCCTCAGTGTAGCACAGTGCTAGTTTTTTCCTAAACATTAAATGCTGTGTAAGCCTGGGTTTTTCAGAAACTGATCTGGGTCTCTGAACCTGGCTGAAATATATCCTGTGCTGTTCTGTGTACTAAATGATGAGAAATTAAAAGACTAGAGGCAGATTCTGATGGATTGCTGTTTATCTCCTTTTGCAGGACTTTGGGTTGGTTGGTTTTTTCCGAGGCGGTGTGCCCCGTGCCCTCAGGCGGACTCTGATGGCAGCGATGGCATGGACGGTGTATGAGCAGATGATGGAAAAAATGGGCTTGAAATCTTGAGTGACTCGCACGAGAAATCACCAGCTTCACTCCTGCTGCTGCTTGCTGTGATCAACTGGCACTAGGAAATTCCCAGTGCAATAGAGGAATAAGCCTTGCTCAGCTAGGAGGAAGAAGGCCCTTCTGAGACAGGGGATTAGGCCTTTTGGCAAGGAGAGGGAAGAAGGATTTGATCTTTGCGTCGTTTATCAATGCATTCCAGAAGAACTGCACTTGCAGACTGCCACGGGGAAATGGCAGGGTGTCCACAGCCCCGTAACTGTGCTGAAAGAAAAGCCCCTTTTAAAAATAGCTCTGTGCTCACCACCTTTACGCGATGACACATTGCTGAGCAAAAACGTTTGAGGAGAAAACAGTCTTTTCAGAACCTGTCAGCCTGTTCCTTGCTGATCTGGCCAGTAAGGCCAGAACGACCCACCATCTGATGTAGATCTTCCTTCCACATATGCTTTGTTCTCACAGGGGAATGTTGCAGATCACAGTGGGAGACTGGATGTGTCTCTTAATGCTTGGATTGCAGGAGGTGGGTGGAAGAGAGCTGGAGTGCTAAAGGGAAGCTAGGAACACTGTCTCTGTCATCACTTTTGTACTGTGTGTGATACCAGAGAAGGTAACTGGAACCTCCTCACTGTGTAATGTGTTATTATGTAACTGAGCATTTTAACACTCTTGAAATGTGCTTCTGCCTCTACAGCAGTGTTTGCACAGGAATTAAGACGCACTTTAGCATTGGTTGCTACCAAAGTTCTATTTGTTCTCTGAAAAATATTTTTCCTGCGGATCTGACTATGTCAGGAACACTCAGTTTTGTTTTTTTTTTTACCCAGTTGTACTAGAAACTTATTTGCTTCTTGTTATTCCATGTGTTAATCCCGGATCAACACCCTCAGTGCGACCTGGTCCTTAGATGTAGCTTTTGGGGTCCTAGCTCAAAATGCATAATGGAAGCAGATACAGATACTGATACTTCAGATTTCCCTTAAAAGCCGCTACTGACTGCATGGGGAGTATCTTTGGGTTTTTTCTTTTCTGTAAGCTTTCTCCAAAGTTTGAGACCTATGAGAGTTTGGTAAGGAACTTTAATTCTCTTTGGGCTCCACGCAGACCCTTCACAGTTTCCCAGCTGATCATTTTCTCTTAACAGGCAGTCCATATTTCAGTATTCCTGAGTTTGATCTTAGAGATAAATAGACTTTTTTCATTCACTGTGCCTTCTTCCTCATTTCTAATTTGTTACAAAGACGTCCTAGTGTGTGCACCAAATTTGGGTACAGCCTTCTCCCCTCTTCACTTGTGTCTCTGTGCTGGCTGGGTCGGGAATGTGGTAGCTCTGTTGGCATCGCTGCAAAGCTGGGCATAGAAGCGTGTGTCCTGTTCCGTAGTGTGCCTTGGAGAAAACAAAGCTTTGGCTTTTCTGAAATATCTAGGGATATTAAAATTCACTTTAGAAACAGAGCAGATATCTCTAAATATGAAGACATGACACTGTAGCCATACAAAAAAAGGTACTACGTACCACTTCATGAAATTTAGAGTGTAATTTGCATAATCACTGCCTGCCCTGGCAACCTCCTGAGCACAAGAGTAGAGGGGACGTGGGTTGTAAAAGATGTTTTTTACCCGATTCCAACTCCAATAAGGTTTGATGAGTGACGTGAAAGCCTGAGTAAAGTGTAAGGGGACAGGCTGGAGGCTTGGAAGGTGCTGCCTGTTTTTAACCTCAGCTCAAATGCAAGGGGAGACTGACACTGGACAATGCAGGAGTCTCCATGAATAGTGGTGGAGGGTCCCATGTGCCCATGTCTGTATGTTCATTATAGAGCACTGCATCAAATCATTCCATGTTTGTTCTGCTGTTTGTTATCCTGAGCACTACCTGCACGGAGAGCTGGAGAACAGAGCCTAGGATTGCTGACTGGGTAGAGTGAGGTGGAATTTACAGGAGTTACCTCATATGGTTTTTACTTCCCTATGCATGGGATCAAACCAATTTACTATGCTGGAAGCCTGAATTTGTTTGGGGCTTTCTCAGTCTTGGTGAGTTGGATCTGTTTTTTATCCTGGGCTGTGTGTGGTGTTGCAGGCGAGGTGCCTCACGAATGTTTTAATTCCTGATTTAGCAATGGCAAAGCAGTGTGCAACTTATACAGACCGAAACTCAGGCAAAATGAGGCAAGTGAGCAAAGAATGCCAAGTGATAAATCTTGAATTAATTAACATTTTCATCAGAAACGTGAAATGTGGGAACACTTCAGTGGCTTTTATGCCCTATAGTCCTGCCTGTTCAAGTAACAAAGGAAGAACTAGAGAACTTACTCTGGTATGTTGGTGTTTTAAAGTCTACCAGTTTATTTTTTTTAATCGGGATTCAGGCCTAAAGCGGTGTTAGCTTTTCCTTTGGGAAAGTTCTTTCATTCCCCTTACTTCATGGAGAATGAGGAGGCTCTTTGTTGTTGCAGTGAAGTGAGAGAGTATATGCTTTATATTTGTGAATTGGCCTGAGCTCCTTTGAGTTTAAGAAGTAGAGAATCTGAACCGCACTGTGTTTCATCAACCCTTGGTGCTGCAAATCCAAAACCACCTCTACGTGTGAGTTGGGGAGAGTGAGTTTTGTGGTGCGAGTTTGTTGTTTGGTATTATTTCTTGTGTCAGGTCTCTTATTTATAGGGGAAGGGAAAGCTTGAAGTTCTGTTTCACTGTCTTCTGAAAGCTGTAGCACATAGGCAGGGACAAGACCATTTCTCAATTCTGATCCTTACCATCCTTCACCCCTTTTCCCCTCTTCAAAACATTCTGTTTCTGAAGTGGTTGGTTCAAGTTACTCCTTGATTACTTGTTTTTCTTGACTTGCTATAGTTAAGTTTAGATATATTGCCCTTGAGGTTGTCTGCTTCTAGTTAACAGCAAATGGTGGGTGTACCACCTAAATGCAAAGTAAATCAAAAAATACAGACACAGATGCTTAATCACCTACCTGTATTATACCAGCAATTTGACACCAACAATCCTATTAGATAATAATTTACAAAGCCATCTTAGCTGGGATTCCATAGAAAGTGGTGTGATTGCTTCTGTAAGTGGCAGGATGGCAGTTGGATTCCTCTTGCAATGCCCTCCTGTGCTGGCAGTACGCTCTTAGTGAATGTGCATGGGCTTGGCTTGCCCTTGTGACTGTGGTAGAAGAACACAACTGGTAACATATTGAGGGAGTCAGTATTTAAGTGGAGTGTGAGGACCCAAGAGAAATAGTCTGATCACTTAAGTTTCAGAAACTTCACATTTCCATTCTTCCTGTGCCAATGATTATTATTTTTTTTTTCCTTGCACTGATTAAACAGAACTGGAGCTTTGGAATGTGGCATAGGTTTGAGTATTGTGAGTGTTTGTGTCTATATAAAATATTTATGTGAGAAGGTATATTATATGTTTCTAGTAAAAACTGTTTGCCAAAAATGAACCATGTCATCTCTTCAGTGTTTCTTAAAATAAAACAGATCAAATCCACAAGGGGTGGGGTGGAATAGAGGCTTAAGAAAGCGAAAGTAGTTTCCCAAGAGACCAGGACTATAGGATGAGTTCAGAGCCCATATATAAGCATATTCTGTTTTTCTATGGGGTATAATACCCACAGGCTGTGCTAGTACAACCTAAATCGGCTTTACTTAAATGGAAAAAACACATAGCAATGGGGAATCTTGTCTTTTTCACAGTTTCCTCTGCCTGCCTGCTGTGTGTAAAGACTGATGGAAATTGAATCTCCGTACCAGCTGCTGAAATACCCGCATTTAGGACTGGGGGGGGTGTTCAGCACTCTGGGGAAGAGACTGTTTTTAATCTTCTGCCAACCAGGTGTTTGCTCCTCGGGCAGTCAGGTCTCAGCAGGGGACCAGAAATTGTGCCTGGGACTTCATTCTCCGTGGCAAGGCACGGTGCAAGGGGAGGCTGGATGGCTGGCATCTCTCGCTGTCACAGCACGCTCCTGGGATTCAGTAGGAGGCAGGGAGTGCTAAAGCAAAACACCAGCATTGTTGATACCGAGATCATACATCTTCCAGATGTGAAGATACCAAACCTCTCTATTTTCAGGTGTTGCCTACATGATGCATTGGAGCAATTCTCATGACGAATCCTCTGTGTGTAGCAGACAGTCCCACTGTGTGGCTTTGTGCCAGCTGGATCCAACTGCTTGTGGAGGTACCTGATTCCAAATTAGCCTGGTAATATTGCCTGCTTTTAAATGCAGGGCTTCCCAGAGCTCTCCTGCTGCCTTGAAGAACCATCTCTGGTGTAGAGGGTGTTTCTGCTCACACTGCTGCCCCAGCTGTGAGAGGAGATAGGAGACAGGCTCCCTGAACCTCTTGGGTGTGGAGAGTGAGAGAGAAAAGGAGCAGTTTAAAGGCATTGTCCTCGTTATAAAACATAAAACTATGGATCTCCCTTTTCCCAAGCAAATGCTGTGCTTGATTTTTATTTTTAATTTTTTTATTTTTTTATTTTTAATGCATTATGGGCCGTGCACGATCACTGACATCAGCACTGAGCAGAAAATAGTCTGTATGTGTAATTTTGCAAAACCAGTGTGGAGCTCTTGAAAATGCTTATCCCTTTTAGCATTGCTTCTGGTTTCCGAGTATCAAGCTGATTTGCTGCATTGCACTGTTTCTTAATTTCCAATTTCATAGCTATAAAATGCTTTGGGAGATTTTATCTTAACACATTGAGGAATTTTAGTAAAAATGATAGTTAGAAGTTAAAACATCTTTCTTCCTGAGCCTCTTTCCAAGATGCACTGGAGGACATCTCCACTGCAGCCCAGTGGCCTTCTCCCACCACTGAGGCATCCTCTTACAGACCCCCTACTCCAGTTATGGGAGGGGAATTCAAGGAGAAAGCTACCAGTAAATAGTCTATGCTAAAATTGTTAGTTGGCATTCCTGGGTGTATCAATAAACATGTGGCTTAATGGCATGAGCTGGCAGCGTGTGCTGGCAGCCCAGAAAGACAACCCCATCCTGGGCTGCATCCAGAGAAGGATGCAGAGTAGGGGAGGGAGGTGATTCTACCCCTCTGCTCTGGTGAGACCCCACCTGGAGTGCTCTGTCCAGCTCTGGAGTCCTCAGCACAGGAAGGACAAGGACATGTTGGAAGGGGTCCAGTGGAGGGCCACAAAGATGCTCAGAGGGCTGGAGCACCTCTCCTATGAAGACAGGCTGAGAGAGATGGGGTTGTTCAGCCTGGAGAAGAGAAGGCTCCAGGGAGACCTTACAGCAGCCTTCCAGTACCTGAAGGGGCTACAGGAGAGATGGGGAGGGAGTCTTCATCAGGGAGTGGAGTGATAGGAACGAGGGGGAATGGTTTTAAATTGAAAGAGGGGAGATTTAGATTAGAAAATAGGAAGAAATTCTTTGCTGTGAGGGTGGTGAGGCACTGGAACAGGTTGCCCAGAGAAGCTGTGGCTGCCCCATCCCTGGAGGGGTTCAAGGCCAGGCTGGATGGGGCTTGGAGCAACCTGGTCTGGTGGGAGGTGTCCCTGCCCAGGGCAGAGGGTTGGAACTCGATGATCTTTAAGGTCCCTTCCAACTCAAACCATTCTATCATTCTACATGTGTCAGACCCATAGGCTTGGGAAATGCTTTTGTATCTGCCTTTCACACAGCATTGTCTTCTGCCCACAGGTTTCATACTAGATATGATTTGTCATCTCGCCCCCTACGCTTTTTTTTTTCCCCTCCTTTTCTTTTTTAAATTAAAGCATCGGAAATTTCCATATTCCCTCCAGGACTGCAGATGATCCTCTGCCAAATGCAGCTTTTCTCTTGTGACACTTACCAGCATGTGATCTGAGAACATCTGTGCCTGGGTGCTGACCCTCACCACGCCGTTGTGGAGCTGCCTGAGGTTTTGGGAGCACCTCTCTGGTGAGGCAGAGAAAGGTTCTGTTATGCTCCAGGCTACACACCAGAGACCCTGCTGACACGTGGGGACTGGCAGGAGCCAAAGTCCTATCCATGAGCCACCTGGAGCTCGGTGGAAACATAGGAAGCCAAGGTCAGGCTTTGGCATGTATGGTATGAACCTGCTTCTGCTTCACTGGGACTGAGTGGAGGAACCAAGGCTCAAGCAAAACAACTCCCTAGACATTGAATAAGGCGAGTAAAATCCAACCGGATAAATCTGAATAGTAATAGGGGCATGTGGTGCCCCTTTTTGTGGTGCCTGTGACCTGGGAGAAGAGTCCTCCCCTCCTTTCAGGTTATTGCAGAGAACAATAAGGTTTCCCCTCAGCCTCCTTTTCTCTGGTTGAGGGATATTTTGAAGCCAACCCAACTTCTAAAAAATGATGGCACCCTCTTCATATAATCATGTAGCTCAGTTCACTGTGAGTAGTGGCAGGAGGGACATGGTCAAAAGTACACGATGAGACAGATACACTTCTACCTGAGGGACATGTTCATTCGTGACAGACTTTTTTTTAAAAACTGTCTCAGCACACAGTTAAAAAGTAAAACAAACTTGTAGGTTGCTTAAGAAAATATTCTGGAATACTTTGCCGTCAAGCTTTACCGTGACTCTTCCAAGGCCTCTTGTGGGCTGTGCAGCTCTTGAATGGTCTACTAGAACAGTCTACTCTATGGTCTACTAGAAAGGGCCCAAACTCTGACAAGAAGAAATAAGTTAATTTAAAAGAGGTGTAGACGTGGCGCTTAAGGACATGGTTTAGTGGTGGACTTGGCAGTGCTAGATTAATGGTTGGACTCAACCAGGTTGAGTTCATGTTCTTGCTGAAAGGTGATTTATTTAGAGTTTTGTTTTACCCACCTTTGTCGCCACCACGTGGCAAACGTGTGAATTGTTCCCTTAAAAGAACATTCTCCAACTGGTCTGGTAATCTTGCTAATTAAGATCTAACAAGCACACAGAAAAGAGGAATGGTGTGAGGGCCAGCTCCTGACTCGCAGGCTGAAGTTTTGTGGGAATGATGAGAAGCGGCTGATAGTAAACGCTCAAACTCAACACCTATAAATACTGTTCCAGGGCTCTGCCACCCTCACAGTGAAGTTCCTCCTCATGTTTAGGTGGAACTTCTTATGGTCACGTTTGTGCCCGTTTCCTCTTGTCCTGTCCCTGGGCACCACTGAAAAAAGACTGGCCCCATCCTCCTGACACCCACCCTTGAAGTATTTATAGGTGTTGACCAGATCCCCCCTCAGCCTTCTCTTCTCCACTGCTTCCCGTGGGCAGGTGGATGTCCAGCCATCCCCAGGAGAGCAGAGCTCCATCACACGTAATGGTGACTTGGCTAAACAAATGCCATCATTCTGAACGCCGCCATACCTCCCCTTTCTTCTTTTTTTCCCCGAAATGTATATGCTGAGCGTGATGCCACATGGCATGGTACAGCCCCCTGGTCACTGGGGGGCAGCTTCTCCTGGCTGTGTCCCCTCAGATCTTCTGCTGGGGTGGCGTGAGGAGCAGAGAAGGCCTTGACTCTGCGTAGGCGCCGCTCAGCGAGAACCAAAACCGGTCCCTGTGTTACCAACCGCTGCTTTTTAAAGCGAAAGGACACAAAATGGACCCCCGGGGCGGGAGGGAAGGAAGGCGCCGCCGCGAGAAGGAAAATTGGCGCGCTGGCCGCCGGCCACGCCCCACCAGCCGCCAGGCCCCGCCTCCCTCCGTAACGGGCGGGGCCCCGCCCTCCCCGCCGCTCCCCATTGGCCAGCGAGGCTATATATAGACGTCACTGCACGCGGCCTTCCCTTTCCGCCTCGGCCTCCACACGGCGTTGTCAGCGTGAGTGCGGGCTGCCGCCTCAGGGGAGCGGGGAGGCGCGGGCGGGAGAACCGGGGGGCGGCGGCGGTGCCTGTGCCTGCGCCCCCGCCCCGCCGCTCTGATCTTTGCGCGCCCCTCCGCCGTGCCGAGCCGCGGGGAAGGCCAGGGCCTGGCGGCGGGGGGGTGGTGAGAAGAGGCGGCCAAGATGGCGGCCGGGGTTCCTGGCGGCCCTCATGTGGCGGAGGGAGGTGGGAGCCCTCCTCGCCCGGCTCAGCCGGCTGCTTGTGCCCGCAGGTTCCCTGTCGTCGCTTCCTAAGGGAAACCCCACAATGTCCGGAGGTCTCGATGTCCTGCAGATGAAGGAGGAGGATGTCCTCAAGTTCCTCGCTGCCGGGACCCACCTGGGAGGCACCAACCTTGACTTCCAGATGGAGCAGTATATTTACAAAAGAAAAAGCGATGGTAAACGCGTAGGATGGGATGGGCCAGAGGGCTGGAGCGCCTTCCCTATGAACACAGGCTGAGAAAGCTGGGGTTGTTAAGCCTGGAGAAGAGAAGGCTTTGGGGAGACCTTATAGCAGCCTTCCAATATCTGAAGGGAGCTACAGGAGAGATGGGGACTCTTGGTCAGGAAGTGGAGTGACAGGACAAGGGGTAACGGTTTTAAATTGGAAGAAGGGAGATTTA